ATTTATTTCCGATACGTTTAACATCGAAGTGTACATGGTGGCAGCATCTGTGGCATAATGTATTAAATAACCCAAAATGCCTTGCATGCCCTCTATCGGCATGAACATTTGTTTATTAACAGCAGCTACTACATTCTTAGCCTCTAGCGTTATACTGTACTAGCTTGACTACCCGGCTTCGCCTGGGACTTGGATTCACCACGCCCGGCCGCCTTTGTCTCCCCAGTGGCGATGTTCACACACCACACCAGTTACTCGTTTGAGGCTGAGTCGACCTAGGGGAGGCCCAGGACCGGTTAAAATAATTGTCACCGGTGGTGGCCATGAGCGGAAATCGAACTCGGATCGCCGGGTTCGTAGCGCAGCGCGCTAACCACTACACTACAATGCGTTACGCTGTAACATGCCCAGGTCACGTGACAGATTTGACGTCACAGCTCACTTGCCGTGCAAAAAATAGATGCATTATTGAGCTCCCCCCCAAAAAAAAAAACCACAAGTGTATTTTAATAATGTTTGCATGGTGTACAGTCTGGAAAGTACCCACATGGCATATTTCAAATTTGTTGCATGTCGGGAAGTACGCTAAACATTTTGAACAGACACACATTCACAACTTTGCCTTTTATATATATGGAGATTAGGAAGCCTACTACTTTGGGTTTCCAATAAATGGCATGAATCCAACGTATTGGAATAGAAATATATTCGTGTAAGTTGAGTATCTGCTTTCCAACCCTCGATTGTCTCAATGGTTACTACTATACTGCTGATGCCGTGTGCGATCATTGACACGTGTTATGAAACTGTGATTATGCGGAATCTTATTTCCACAACATATGCATTGCTTCCAAAATGGATGTATACATTTTCTCTTCAGCGATATTTTAAATTTGAAAAAAAACCTAATGGCTCTTGTTTGAGTTCATTGGCAAATCACGGTAATGCAAACTCACACTTGTGTGCCAATCACTATATTACACTTGAATACACACATTTACAGGCACTTGCTAAGCCTTACGAATTCACGCATGTGCAACTCGACATATTAAAAAAGACAGATCCCCCGGTATAGCCTTAACAGATTATTGGGGCAAGTGCTGTTAGCGAGCATCGATGAAGGTCGACACGGCACACGAGGGGGTGGGTGGCCAGCACCACGGCCGACCGCCTTTGTCTCCCCAGTGGAGATGTTTACACACCGCTACGTGTACTCATCTGACGCTAAATCGACCTCGGGGAGGCCCAGGAACGGTTAAAATATCCGCCGATTATTGTGAGCGGAATCGAATTCGGAGCGCAGTGCAATAACCGCCACACTTTTAAACAGCTATTGCACTCACTCACATTCAAACACGCTCCCATACATACTTCAAGGATCTTTACACAATGGTTACATTCCTGAATATTTCAAGCCTGTAGAAAGAGGAGGGAAATCCTCGTTTTGGTGGGGCTGATTACGCTGTGTAACAAATCTTTTGTTTTGTTCCTGGGTAGTGTTATTTCCTAATTGCTTATGCCTAAAAAGTACAGAAAATGGCCATTATTCCCCACCCACTTTGCTGTTGTGACCAAGATAGTGATATTTTGAAATTTACCTATTTTCCAGAACATTCCAGATAGGTTCAGTGCTGAGTAAACTTGGAGTAACTTCTATAACATTCTAGAACTTTCCAGTCATATAAATAGTAGTATAAATACAGGGGCCTTAAGCCCACGAGTTCAGTTTAGTTCCAGCTGCCAAAGTGGATACATATCTGCATTTCTCTGAGATGGCTTCAAGAGGCTGCAAGCATCCGGCAGACGAATTTTGCTATGTCTGCGGCCAATTTATGAAGACAATAGTGAAAAAGTACTCTGTGGAAGCATCTGCAAAGATGTGAGGCCTACAACAAGGCATATTTCGGCATGCCTGTCAGGGATCAAGACAAACCCTGGGCACCTCATTTCACCTGCGAGCAATGCAAAATAAAACTCTGGAAGGTAATATGGACAAATGTTGCTCGGAATTTTGTTATAAAATTTGTTAAAAATTTTCAAATTGTAAAAGTTTTTAAAATGCTTTACAGTTGTTAATGTTATTGAAAAAATATATCATATATGAAAAATGTTGCGAGAATCTCTTACACATTAGTCATGGGTGAAATAAATGTATTTTGTAGGATGGTAGATGGGGAAAGAGAGCCATGAAGGAGCCTGAAAGCCATGCTGCTCCATAATGGTAACAAGTACCCGTCTCTTCCCCTGGCTCACTCGGTGCACCTCAAAGAGGATTACAACAGCATCAAGACCTTACTGGACGCCTTGAAGTATGATGAGTAAGGCTGGGAGGTCATCGGAGACTTCAAAATGGTGGCATTCCTGATGGGTCTCCAAGGCGGTTTTACCAAGTTTCCCTGATATATTTGACTTTGAGACAGCAGGGACACCAAGGCGCACTACCACAGGCGGGGCTGTCCACAGCAGACCGAGTTCTCTGTGGGGAGGAACAACGTCAATTGGGAGCCACTGGTGGACCCCCGGAAGGTGCTGATGCGACCACTGCACATCAAATTGGGCCTTATGAAACAATTTGTCAGAGCTGTAGATAAGGAGTCGGCAGCCTTCAAATACCTTCAAGACTTCTTCCCTAAGCTGTCTGAGGCAAAGGTCAAAGCCGGCGTCTTCTTTGGGCCACAGATAAAGAAGATCCTGGAGTGCAATGAATTCCCCAAGAAGCTCACTAGTAAGGAGAAAGCTGCTTGGAACAGCTTTGTCGCAGTGGTTCGTGGCTTCCTGGGCAATCACAAGGTCGAAAACTACGTGGAGCTGGTTGAGATTCTGGTGAAGAACTACGGCACAATGGGCTGTAGGATGTCCCTCAAAGTCCATATCCTTGATGCTCATCTTGATACATTCAAGGAGAACATGGGAGCGTACTCGGAGAAGCAAGGCGAGCGCTTCCAGCAGGATATATTGGACTTTGAACGCCGCTACCAAGGACAGTTAAACGAGAACATGATGGGAGACTAGATTTGGGGGCTGATTCGTGAAAGTAATTTATAGCATAATCGTAAATGTCGAAAAACTACTCACTTCTAAATCTTTTGTAGTAATTTTTGTATTACTTTAGTATAAATACATGTTAATTTTTATTTGTTGTTTTTTTCAGACTTTATGTGAACGAAAAGACAAATTCGCCCGTTTTCTCATTGAAAATAGGTACATTTCAAAATATCACTGTCCTGGTCACAAAAGCAAAGTTTGTGGGGAATAGCCATTTTCTATACTTTTTAGGCAGAAGCAATTACGAAATAACACTTACTAGCCAGGAACAAAAAATGTTACAAAGTGTTATAAAATCACGCCTCTTCGTGGCAAGCTCCAGAATCAGAAAAAACATTTTCCGACTAATGGGTGAGCATCTATTACCAGACCAGCAAACAATATTATATTTGCGTAGTAGAGAGCCATTCCTAGACCTCAACCAGGCATTGATCAGCTTCCTGATATTTGTATCCGATTGAGACACCAATTGTTCAGCTTTGGTAGGCCTCTAAAACTACACGGTCCGAAAGTGTGTTCGTGCTGGGGGGGCAGAAGATATATCCGTGCCGCATGGAAATGTGAAAAATGCTTAGACGTGACTTAAGGTTTTCGTGACTGCAGGAATTCATATTCTTGGGTCTTTGGGTAAAGCCACGTAGAAAAAAATGTCACGTTATGTTATTCTTTTTTTATTATTAGATCTACGTGGCTTTACAGAAAGACCCAATAATTAGGCTTAGACTCATGGTCACACAGCTTTACCCACGCCCAACATCACGGTCCTTGCAGAAGTTCAGGGCCCATAAAAGAGAGAAAACCCCAAATCGCTGGGCTCTAAATGGCATCACAGGCCTTGACTGGGTAATTAAAGTAGATGTTGGTCCTGGTGAAATTCCCTACACCTCTGCTGCAGCAAACAGAATGGCGCCTCTGCAGGAACGTCCCTGCCTTAGCTTAAACCTGGGCGCGTAAGCTTCTCAGTGTGCTTGAAAAAATGTAAACCTTCTTTGGTTCTTTCGGTAAAGTCACGTAGAATGAGAATAAAATAATAAATTGATAAATTAAAATAACACAATAATATTCTCACGACGTTTCGGCCACAACACAAGCGGCCTTCATCAGGTGAAGGGACGAGACTGTCTGGTAGGACAGCGCTGTCCTACAGCGCTGTCCTACCAGACAGTCTCGTCCCTTCACCTGATGAAGGCCGCTTGTGTTGTGGCCGAAACGTCGTCTGGTAGGACAGCGCTATCCTACCAGACAGTCTCGTCCCTTCACCTGATGAAGGACGCTTGTGTTGTGGCCGAAACGTCGTGAGAATATTATTGTTATTTTATTTTATCAATTTATTATTTTATTCTCATTCTACGTGACTTTACCGAAAGAACCAAAGAAGATGAATCCTTGCAGTCACGAAAGCTTTAAATCGAAAAATGTAAACCTGGCTAGGCCCTTTCCCAGCACAGAGGTGGAAGATCGCCCTGGTAATTGTTAAATCAGTGCTGTCCTCGTTATAAAGGGGAACCCACCGCAGCAGGATTCTTCATTGCAAGGCCCACGGGCCAATGACGGCCCCTGACGTTACACAAAAGTGAAAACACGCCCCTCCCCCCCACCCATCGTGCTGCTGCCAACCCAAATGGTTTCAAATGTGGTGGCCCTCACACCGATGTTATCGGCTAAAGCGGCCCTCCTCTGCAAATGCGTGAAGTGCACTGCACTATCTTTCCAATCCCGCAGCACTTTATGCTGTGGACCAAGCGCAGTCACGATCACGTCATGCAAACGCAGCCTGCACCGAATCGCCGACCCTTCCTTAACAATGCACTCGGATAATCATCCCTGCTTGGCACTCGTACGGTACCCACACACACTCGTACACGGGCACACTCGCCTCTCATGCGCGTGCGCACACACTCGAACACACACAAACACTCACACACTCATTCAAACACACACCCGACGGGGGGCTGTTATTTTAGTAACGTCGTTTACTGTATGTCGACCTAACCCTCAGACAGGAAGAGGACACACTCCACCAGCAATGAGTATACATCGAACCATTAAGTGGAGGGGGGGGGGTCGAAAGACGCAGGCCCGCACACAGCGCTCCTTTGGTGCTTTTTTTCTTTCCCCCTCATCGAGCAGAGTCCCTCCCCCCCCCCCCCGACCGCCTTCGCGTTACCAAATTTCCCGAGCGTGCGACGCGCACGCAGCCCCAACAGGCGGGGCCCACGTGCGCCGCACGACCTACCGGGCGCGTGTTTCCCTGCTGCACGGTCTCTCCGCTGACTACAAATTTGTGCAATTTTTTTTTGCACACCGCAAGTCGCTTACTCGTCGTGTTTGCACTCTGGGGGGTTTGTTCTACAGATCGATGAAACGTCTCGAGAATCCGCTCGTCAAGATCATTTTCTCACCAGGCTACAACCGTTGTCGAGTGGAAATTTTTGTTTACGTCGTGAGCTCCCGGATCCAATAGGTGTTGTTTCCCCCCCCCCCTGCACTCATTGCACACGCCACGTGTCTAGCCTCGCGTGCTTTGCATCTTTTAAAAAAAAACCTCATAAACGAGCGCCCACTGTTGCAGCAGGGAAACACTTCCACTCTCAAAATACAAATTGGGCCGCGTGCGTCCCTGTGTTCGGAGGGATTTCCGCTTTCAGCTGCACGAGTGCCGGTGGGGAGTGCTCGGCAGCAACCAATTGATATGCAACACCGACTCGCGTTAGTCCCGTGCAGCGCGGGCAGCAGGCACGGTGCCGCATCGGATTCTAACCCAAGGCTTTTTGTCGTATAATATATAACACGCGTGCCTAGGTGCAAGATTCAGAGACACATATAATCTGTAGGTTAAGTTGTCGTATTTTGTTTTGCACAATCAAGGCTCTCAGCGCGGCGCCGTGTCGGTCCCGGTGGTCTTAAATAACACCAAGCTGACGGTGACAGGGAAGGTGGTGGAGGTGCAATGGTGGTCGACTGGGGGTTGGGAACAGGGCTGTGGGCGAGTGGAAAGGTGAGTGACTGTGGGTGATGAAAGGAACACGGGGCGGGGGGGGGGGTTACGGGGTAGAAATGGGAGAAACACTGCTAGAAGCGGACCCCCTCAACGCAGAGCGACTTGCGTGTGAAACGACAAATATTACCCCGTGGGTCTGGCGGTCCGCTCTTAAACGAGAGCGGTGAACGACGCAAGCGGCCAAACCCGAGCGCCGCACGCCTCAAGGAGGCATCATTACCGCTGTATTCGTAGTATTCGTTATTAATCTTACTAAAGAGAGAGCACCTCGCGTCGGAGCGAGACGCGTCTACAGGCCGGCAAGATTAATAGTTTTAGTGGCCACGCTGTAGGCCACAAAGGCGCGCACGTGGTGGTGGGGAGTCGGCGGATTAAAATTACTCAACATCCACGCACGCAAAGACGTCCCCGCCGCTCCAGCTTAACACAACAGAAAATAACCCTCCTCCCAACACCCCCCCCCCGCCCCCCAACGTTAATACTTAATAGTTTAGAAATAATATAGTATTAATAGGAATGACAGCACTACAGTTGACAGTTATATTATTAAATGTGTTCTGAGCAGGTCCGCGCAGCGTGGGATACACGGGCAGTTTCACCGCCCTCGTGAGGACTCATCAGCGAGGCAAGAGCGCCCCAAACCACCACCCCCCACAAGTGTTGCAGCACGGCTGAGTGGTTTGACCGTTGTCTTTAGCGATTACATTTGTAATTTCGGACAATGTGTACTGCGAGACTGCGTTACCGTGTTCCCACATTCGATCCGACCTCGCATCTCCCACTCCGTGGGGCACCGGGGTTTGGCATTGAATTCGACGGAGAATTAGGAGGCTCCATTGAGGGGAGTGCTTCACTCGTTTGCGTCAAAGCACCTTCTCTCCCGAAGCATAAAGCACCAGAAGGATGGACCAAAAAAAATCAACGTTTGTACGGCTAAGTTAATAAATCTCAGCTCGCCCTCTCCATTTCCGGAAAAACGAGCTTATTATTGTTATTATTTTTTGTAATTTTTTTGTATATTTTTTATTTACCATTATCCACGTATATTCATCCTAGTAAAACAAAGATTCTTAAAGACATTCGTTCAAATTTTTTTCCATGCACTATACAGATACACTCACACACAAACGGGTGAAGGAGAGGAGGGGGTGGGTGATTAGTTGGCTGTTACAATGATGAAACGAACATGAACTTAATTACAGTAATAATACCGTAAGCTTTTTGCTAAAAATGGAAGGGAATGTCATTAATACACGGTGTACTGCTTACCCTACTCATGACGAGTGCAGAGAAAGAATTAGGGGGGGGGAACTTTACAACAAAAATATTTTAAAAATCATCATAAATTACACTGTACTGAAGGCGTGCATCGCACAGAAAACTCAACCGCACCCCAAACATCTCATCTCAAAAATCCACTCAGGAAACACGTAAATTTCACTAGTTTTGCTTCAAATAACAAAAGCTGAATTGATCTTTCACGTGGTCACACCTTGGTACATGAATTGCAAAATGACAGCATGGCGAGTTTTAAATTGCTATTCAATGCAACACTAATTTCTGGTTCCAAAGTGTGATCATTAAATACTACTTAGGCTTTCAAACTGCTCTTCGGATTTTAAGGTCCTGGGGGTTACCGAAATGTCACTCGACATGAAGCCAAGCCATCCACGTGTCACTTGTAAGCTCATTTTCCACTTCGAAATCCATCCCCCCTCCACGTGTGTATATAGAACACGTCGTCAAAAGAACATCTTTGTTTCCCCCCACACCACCCACTGACAATAATACGTCACAATGCATGTACTCATTCAGCACGAGCAGACACGGCCACCGTTTTGTACATGCCACAGAGTTGTGTTTACTGCAGTTCCACAAAAACTGAAAAAAATCATGACAAATTCTCACACCTCGCACGCACGCACAAACGTCCACACAAAATCAACAAATACTCCTAAAATCATCGGAGGTGCCAAGTTGGAGGGCGATTTCGTGATGACACTAATCTGGACGTCTAGGCGTTGCAACACTAAATTCCCAAAAATCTATTTTAAGAAAACAATACATCTCGCTTCCCAATGCTCTGGCATTCATGATGGCCAAGTATAATTTAAACAAAATGAAAATAATGAAACGAGACGACGGGGGGGGGGGGGGGGCAGCGGGAAAGGGGCCCGCCCATGTCTGCAAAAAAAATCCCCCTCTGAAGTTCAATCCAAAACTACCACGGTGGGTCGGCAACCACCGATAATTTCCGTTCTTACAATTTAGGAAAATGTGCTTAAGGGAGTGAGGTTTAAATACTTTGCGATGCTCTCCAACTCCTCATTAAGCCTTCTCACGAGTCTTCCCTACCAAAGCCTCCTCCCCCCACTAACAACTCCCATAGCTGCCTGTCCAGGAAGCGCAGCACGTGTGGGGAGGAGGGGGCAAGCCACCCCCCCCCCTCCAACTTTCCTCACCCGTCCCAGCCTTTGCACCATAAAATCTATCAAGTGGTGACCACTGGCTTTTTAATGCCGGCCACCACACGATACATGGCTTTTTTATTTACGTAATGTTATCCTTTCAAACTGCCCTTGGCATTAAAAATCCAGCAAAACAAAATGTTACGAAATATAAAAAAGTTAGTCTGCTGATTGTTAATCTTGACAAAGCGTTGATCTATCAGATGCAAATTATATATTACACCTGCAATGGAACATTTTTACGAGTGACTAATTGATCTGTAAATTAAACTCTTCGATTATATCCACAAATGCCGAGCCTTCAATGCTAACCCAATGCACCCTGGACCCTTACCACTAACCCATATCTCCTCGGCCCCTATACATCTCCCAAGGCCACCCTATGCCCTTCACTCCCCACCAGACATGGGGTTGGGTGGAGGCGCGAGCATAAATACTAGAGACTGGCCTTGTGCTTTGGCTAGAGGCCATGTGCAAAATCTTGGGTTTGGCCAGCTTATCCTTAAAGCGTGCACTAATTCAAAAGTGACAACCGCTAAGAAAACGAAGGTGCCTACTACTACTAACACTGTTGCACTGCGCCCTTCAACTCTGGCACCCGATGTTCCGATAGTGGAAATCACAGCGAACCCACACAATCTTAGCAAAAACGACATAAAATTAAAAACAGAAAAAAACTTAGTTTCGAGAACGTAAAGAAAAGCCTTTGAGCGAATACATTTTCATAGCATACACATGATGGTGGAGGCAGGAGGTCGGGTATATTGTGGACGTAGTGCTGTTTATGTACATAGTGATGGTTTCACTCGAATAAGATCATTTTAATGCGTCGGATGCGTTGCGCTCTAAGCCATGACATTACCTACCAACAGCACGAACGCTTACAGGCAAAAAAAAGTCTAGAAATTTTAAGGAAAACGAAAAATATATACTGTATTTATATAAATTCATAATGGTTACCGTTATCAAGCTCACGATAAAATTAGAAAACGAAAAACGTTGATAACTTCCATGCTTAATACCTAATCAATGTTCATGAAAATTTCCGAATGTTAATAGAATCGTGTTTAAACGAATGAAACATTAAGTTTGGGGTGGCAAGCTCCACGGACCCCTTTCCCCTCCATGACCAACTTCATCATTTCAAGGCGAGGGAGGGGGGAGGGGAAAGAATAATTAAATAACTTTAAGCCACGCGTGACTTGGCGGTGCTGCATGGGAGCGGGCCACCGTGCAGACCCCGATGAGCGTGGTATTTGGCAGGCCCTCAGAAAGCCGGAAGAGTGAAAAGTGCTGCAAGCGGTGCCGTGCCTCAACCATTCACGACACTACACCCCCCCCCCCTCCATTGGCCACTGAATAAAATAAAAAAACGCTAGCAACAACAATATTATCATTAATATTAACAGTAAATGACAGTTTTAATGACAATAATAAAAATGATCGAAGTCTTGGGTGACAATTCAAAGATCGAGAAAGCAGATTTTTTTTTTTACATGATTTGGGAGTGAGTTGGCCGGTGTGTGTTCGGGGGGGGGGGGGGGGGGCGGTCAGGGCACAGTGTGGGGGAGAACAGCGGACCGGGTGTGCGTGCTACAGGAGGTAGGTCTGTTTCGTGGGATTCCCTCCTACCCAGGTCTGCAGGTAAACAGCCATTGACGAGTTGCGAGAGGTCGGGGTGGGTGGGGGGGGGTAAAACTACCGTTGGGCACCAGGGCAAATGGGGAAACTAAAACGAACGGGAGTAGCAATTGCATTAACCTAGTGTACAAAATTATCTACAACAGAAAGACCGACTTAATTTTGTGAAACGGCCGTGCGACACCATATGTGCAGTGTGCTCAATATTGGCTCAAACACAACACTGACCGAACAGGAGAAAACAAAACATTATATAACTTTTAAGCTTTGTGCCCGTGAAAAGTATTGATGAGAAATATGCAGCTTAGATGCTCGTTTTTTCTCTCTAAAAATACTGCACTTGAAGAGGAACGTGTAAGGTGGGGACAAAATATACTGCGATTTAAAATGCTGAAGGCAGCAAACATTGTCAATATTACCCATTACTTAAAAGAATATCTGCAGATAACACAATGTTGGATGACTGTATAAATGTTAGTCAAGAGGCAATGGGGCTCACGAGGGGCATTACCACAGCTGTCGCGGTACTCTGACACGTTAATAACAAATTTGAAGACTGGATCGGTGGGGGAACAATATTTGACCAGAAAAAGCCAAAGAATATGAATCCTGCACATGCCATACATAAAGCTAAGTCGGTCACCTACCGGTGCAAAATATCATCAGAAAAAAATAACATTGTAGAAAGAGGTTTTTTTTTTACTCTTACTGAAGGATGTTGATTTTGACTGAACGGCAGACGTCATGCTTGTTTGTCGCAAGAGTTAAAACAGACCAGTTAACCACTGCAATCGCGCCCAACACGTGCCTTTTCAATTTCTACGGCACATTACTCGTGAGCTGGCAGACAACGCAACACTTTTTTTTACCGTGATCTTTTTTTGTTTGTTTCATTATCACACCCGTCAAGTAACCCTCCACCCCTCGCATGCCTCCGTGCGGGTGCTGTTGTGCTATGACCCCTGCAAGCCTTCACCCTTCTGCCACACTCCCACAAGCACACCTGGCCCACCCACCCCCTGCACGCATATTTTTTTTTTTATTTTGCTTCCACGTCCTTCCTCTGCTCTGCTACAGAGGCATTTTGCCCACCCCTATCCCACCCGCCCATGTACCACAACCCCAACTTCCTCACTCCCCACCTCCCCGCCCACCCCCCCCCTCGTCCTGGCCCCTCATGGCCAAGTGGTTTTGCCCTGCCCTCCCGTTCTCCAATGGTAGCGTGGTTGGGCCCGGCCCGGACTCCTTGCTGCTGCTGCTGCTGCTGCCGCCGCTGCACTAATTCCAGATCTTGAGGAAGCTGTCCCAGGAGCCGGTGGCGACAGCCATGCCGTCGTCTGTCACACCCAGGCAGCTCACGCGGTTGTCGTGCCCCGCGAGGACGCCTGCAAACACAACCAGCACCGCTCTTCCATCAGCACCGGCACCAGAGCGAGCAAAGAGCGAACAACACGCAACTCCCTCATTCTGATTTCACTTGTGTCAGTGGGTGTGGCAACACAACTATAAATATAGATCTCCTCAAATCTAAATTGGCACTAGATCTGCTTATATTATACGTGGTCATTGGTCAGTATTATGCAATAGTGTAATAGCCAAAGCATGACTGTAGCAGGAAAATATACCTGGTGTTACACTCAAACGTGGACATGGTCTTTTTCATGGCAGTACTCATTCCATTTGCTTGCTCGGGTGGGCTAATTATAATCTCAATGAGTGTTTAAATAAATACCTTTCAATTAACATTTTGCTCATTAAATTCTTCTTGGCAGATCAAGAGGCTCAGAATGTAGCCAAACAATAACACCCTACTCTAATGTTTAGGCACTGAAAGTGTGAATCAACATCACTAACCATAACACAGAAATATCACCAGACAGAATACCACGAAAGCCACACGAATACATGCCACTGTCAACGACAAAACGTCAACGTCACGATACACGCATGCGGCCAACACCCATTGCGCGCATACGCAAGCGCGCTCTGCGCACCTGCGAGCAGAGCGCCCCCTGGCTCGCACGTACCGGCGCGCTCCCCCTTCAGGGTGTCCCACACGTTGCAGTTGAAGTCGTCGTAGCCGGCGAGCAGCAGGCGGCCGCTCTTCGAGAAGGCCACGGAGGTGATGCCGCAGATGATGTTGTCGTGCGAGTACAGCATGAGCTCCTGGTCGGCGCGCAGGTCAAAGAGCCGGCACGTGGCGTCATCTGAACCTGTCGCAAACGCGTTGCCGTTCGGGAAGAACTGCAAGGCGCACAGCGGCAGACAACGAGGCAGAGCGACGGTATTAAGCAGGGCTGGGGGCATCCGAAATTGAATACGCTCGCACGAGAAAACTGAGGATGAAGAATTGCGTGCAACGCACTTAAAATTATTTTAAAATGTATACGGCACCATTCTTGCAAATTGCATCTCAAAACGTTGTATAATTTTTACGTGCAAAGGGTTTTCCACGGAAGCACCAGGAACCACAGATAAACGGTAAGCCAGCTTTGTGGTGCTATGTTGGGATGTTTGGCCATCTCCACTAATAAGTGTTTATACATTTAGTAAAAAACCCACAACCAACGTACAGATGCATATTAATCTACTTAATGTATGGCTATACCCTGGAAAACCAGGAAGCAATTGGAACCTCGACACCCTTGTGTAGGGAGTTCCACGAATTTGTATACCACGGCATCTCTAGGTGCTGTAGAACGCACAGGAAGAAACTAAGATGAACATGGCAACAGTAAAAATACACGTGATGAAACTGGGCCCATAATATGGAGTGCAACAGCTACCAAGTCCAACGCCAAGAAGACCCAAGTCAAACACATGAATGGAATGTAAAGCTAGTCCCAGAGATTACAGGAGACGAGTGCATATAGAGAGACAGGAGAAATGTGCATGTCGTCTGCCGACAGAAGCGCAAATTGGTATCACTTGTTCCCCCCGAACACTGCAGCGTGTGCATGGTAATGGATCTCACTGTCCGCCAGGTGGGCTGCCTCCACTCACGCAGACTGCGTTGATGTCGGACTCGTGGCCTGTGAAGGTCTGGCGACACATGCCATCGCGTACGTCCCACAGCTTGGCCGAGGCGTCGCACGCGCCCGACACAAAGGTGCGCGAGTCGGGCGCCAGTGACAGGCTCATGACGTCACCCGTGTGCCCAGTGAATGTGGTCGTCTGTTGCGCCGTCTCAATGTCCCACAGAGCGCTATGTGAGGACGGGGGGGGGGGGGTAAGAGGAAGCAATGGTTGAGGCATGTTGTAACACACGCATATGCAAACGAAGATTCGTCGTCATGCCTCCCGCAGCGTGCTAACAAAACCTAGCTTGCGTCATCTCGATTTTGAAACCCTAAAAGACGTGAGGTCAAACGTCAATTTATAGAGAATCAAAGAAAGAGGGTGACAGCACTCAATGCATGACCACTATGAATTATCTTAATACTATAAAACGATCATCCTTTTACAAAATACACAGCAAGAGTTGGTGTGGCAGCGATCAATATAATAATCGCGGCCTTTTGAGTGTTACAAGGGGATGCGATCAAGCCAGTAATCAGTGCTGTATACACAAAGTTTGTTTGAACAAGGAGAAAGATAAGGAGGGGGTGGATGCGCAGCAAGGATTTGACTCACCACGTTGTGTCCCCAGAGCTGGTGATGATTTGATTGTCATCCAGGAAACGGCAGCAGGACAAGTATCCTGAGTTACAAAGCAAATACAATGAATAAACACAAAATTACATAGCAATGAATACAATCCGTTAACCCGACTTACTTTAGTCTCACCAAGGCCAGATCAAAGTTGATTTTATTTAGCATAATAAGACATGGATGTGTTTCACTACTAACAATTAAAATGACATATAGCTCCTTGAGTCTATGGTCCTTCGGGTCCAATGTGTCCATCAGCGTTTGCTTAACCAAGCAAACCAGATCAATATTTGCATTGTGATTGTCATCAGCAGTGTGGCCTGTTGAAACTAATCCTGCTGGTATGCCTTGCACACATTGCAGTCAAAGTAGAGTACACACCTGCCTAAAAAAATTGATAGTACACTCTCAAACATGGTCAACAAAAGACATGTCACAGCAAACAAATTAAATAGTGTAATCATCAAAACAGACAAATATGCTGAATAAAGCAAAAATCTAATTAGATGGGGTTTTGTGCCGTCATTGGTGGCCACCAACTTGCTACACTGATACTTCAGACGAATGACCTCACCAGAGTATGTCTGTGATTTCAAATGTTATTTTTTCATTAAAAAGCCTGAAATATGTTAGTCTGGGACAAGCAGACTTGTCCATATGCAAACGTTAAGAGCCAGCTGTTTTTTTTAATATCCACATTTTAGCTGAAACCATGCTTCAGGATTCCGCAAAGATTTCTGGGTAAACAAGGATAATCAAACTGTTGACACCGGCTCCATAGTGAGCACACTGATAAACAGGGTAATCAACGACTATAAATAATGAAAACTTAATTTCATAGGGGGGCCACATTGGTGTTTGAATACCAAAGTTGCGCAACTACTTGCCCATAAATATTATGAATTCATCAGTTGTGGGAAAAAACCAAAGACAATATTTTTTTCTCTCATTTCCATGTTTTTGAACATTGCTTTTGGTCTGCAATCACTTACTAGTAATTATGTCAAGTACCTCTTTGCTCTAGTACCTCAAGATATATGGCAAGGGAGGCACAGCATAAATATTAAACAATGATGAATATTACCTGATGCGTTAGCAAAGGAACTACTTTTATCTTCTTTGGTTCTTTCGGTAAAGTCACGTAGAATGAGAATAAAATAATAAATTGATTAAAAAAAATAACACAATAATATTCTCAGGACGTTTCGGCCACAACACTACTTTTAATAAAAACAAGATGTGATCCAAACAACCGATATTACCATTTAGATGTTTAATGCTGTTTGGTGCGGAGCAGTCCAGCACAAGTTTGAAGCTTTGTTAATAAGCGTAACATTTATTGTCAGGTAAATATCGTAACGATCTAGTGAAGCACTACATTGGCGTATTAAAAAGCATGAACAACGTTTCAGTGGTGTCACTAAGACTGTTATAATGAATCTTTAAACAAGGTCTGGATGGCCAGGGATACACACCCTTCGCCTTGGTACAAGGGATGGAAGAGTATTACATTTTAAATATAAGCTGGATTTTCAGATTTGTATGCCCAATTCTGGAGTTAATTTTGTATTTCTGGATGAAATGTATTATTTTAACTTGCATTGCGTATTCACCAAATGTACGACTTTTTAGTCAGTTTTTATGTTAATTATATATATATTATTTAACGTTTCATAAGTAAAACAAACATTAATACAAAATGTTTTATGGAAGTGACTTCACTTCCGGTGACAGTGAAATTTCACATAAATCCAAAATGTTCCCTCAAGATCAACCGAAATTTCTCATTTAGACCTCATTTTCATATTCATGAGATTAATCTGAAATTGTGAATCCATCTCTTCAAGGTACTTAATCTACAAAGTTAACGCTTTCCCCCCCCCCCCCCCCGAGATTCTCTTTTGAGTACCTACCAGGACAACACAAAAAAATTCCTGGATTCTTCTTACCTGTGTGGCCGGGCAATTCGCGGCTAACCCTCACGTTGCCCTCGCGAGTCTTGAGGTTGTAGATGGAGCAGATGTTGTCGAGGCCGCCGCACGCCACGTAGCTGCCGGAGGGCGCGTACGCGCATGTCATCACCCAGGACGAGCGCAGGGGAATTGCGTGCACCTGGACAGACACCCAGGGGTCATCGGAGGACGGATGCGTGTCAAGTGCTCGTCACAAAATAAAATCGGGAAACATTATGCATACGTAGGGACTCTGCAACACTTTCCAACATGCGTTTTTTTTGTCTTTGGAAGTATTTATATTAACAGCACGGAAACTGATGGGTACCTGTAAAGGCAAAACATGTTTTCATGTTTGCAAAGTACTTTTTTCTGGTTTTGGGCTGCTCTTCTATCGTTTTGGCCAATTTTCTATAGGCCAAGTCCCAAACAGCACGAACTTTATAGTAAAGTTGTGTACGTAGTGGATCAGTTACGAGCGTTACGATTACCCCCACATTACAAAGCTAATGGTCTAACGCTCTACTATAGTGCGAAAACATTCAAGACACTTTTCTGCTGTTCAGATCGTACATTAACTATGTTCCTGGACAAGATAAACTCTAAGTGCTAGTCAAGGTCGATTTAAGTGCAAAAATCTAACTTTTACATTTGTCGTTTTACCGAAAGAACCAAAGAGTAATTCCTGCAGTCACGAAAGCTTCAAATCAAGCTTTTTTTACATTTGTATTTTATTTTTCACAGAAATCAATAAGTGGACTCCAACATCACATGCTATTTATGAAAAGTTATATTTGGTAAAGCCTCAGGACTTAAAAACAGGTTTCTCGGCTCAATGGAATGAAATCACCATTACCTCGGGGAGCCACTCAGCTATTTCTTAACTGTTTTTTTTATAAATATGGTGGTCAAAAAGCCAGGACATTAAGAGTTATATTTAATGTAACAAATAACATAGGGTTATTTAATTTATTTTAAGAAATATTCAAACTGACACCCATTAACATTAATGTGTGCATGAATTATCTTTAGAAATTAATTTAGGACTTTTTTTAAAGGTTACAGGTGTACAGATGTGATCTGTGAACAGTCAATAGTTGTCAATTGTCTTTCCATTTGTAAATGTCATCTGAAAAGGACAAATAGCTAAAAAAATATAAAATTAACTTAAGAAATTTAAAAAGTTTAATGCCAGTGTTAACATAAATTAAATAAACCTATGTGTCCTGACTTTTTGCCACCCTGCATATAGATTCCACTTGCAGAAAGCAGGATTCCGTTTGTGATTCTTCCAATTTTCTCATGTATACACTAGGGGTGGAGTTCACCTTCTCACATGCCCTGCCACAGTGGAGTGTCACATGGCAATCAAACAAACATTTTGTCCTCCAAACTGGAAATAAAGTAATTGGAAACTGGGCTGAGACATCCAACTGAGTAAAATTGAGAAGTCCGTTTATTTAATCATGAGTGGTTGCCCACAACCTAGGATATCAGGAGTGCAGGCTGTGCTTAGATAACATGAGTCCTCTTATCCACATCCCCAAAGTGATACCCACAAAACCTTCTGCTCCTTAACTCTCAATTTAATGACAATAGGCACAAGCTGAGGAGCATCAAACACAATACAATTTGGGTTTAAAGTGTCTAAATGCAGATGCAACTGAAGTCTCTGTATAAAATGTAGAAAATGTGCACATACCTTGTTGGTGGTATAGCTGTCCCAGATTATTAGTTTTCCATCTTGAGAAGCACTGACCAACAGCCTGCAGACAATCGAAAATCATAATCAACACTTGAAAACAAATCAATTCCTCTATGTTGCCAATTAAGACTGGAATGGCATGGGTCTGTGGCCAGTAGACTCAATAATACACATGTCCCCATCAAAAATTACCCAAATCTTAACGTGCAATAAACGTGCTTTTCTGCGTGCTGCTGTTGGTGTGTGTGCATGCGCAATCTCACCGGGAGTCTGTACCCCAGTGCATGGCATAGATCTTAGCCAGGTGACCCCTAAGGGTCCGGCGTGTTCGCATCTGGATGCGCCCCACCGAGTCAAGATTTGATGTCACCTGGACAGAAAAAGAGAGCGGTAGGGTCAGATGACAACCTCATTGCACCTGCCAATGCTTCATATTGACCTCCTCCACTTACTGCTTGCATGTACACACCATGATACTTTTGTGGTCACAAAACCCACACCGATAGGATTTTAACTGTGAATCTGAAATATCAGGCACTGGCGACTACGCAATATCACCTGCACCAAAGAAAGACCAGTAATGTCAGTGGCCTTACCTGCAATAGGGTAGCATCTTTGCAGGCCTTGCGTGCATCCTATAATGCAAACATACATGGACAGTTATCAGACAGCATGACAGACACAAATACACAACCATAAATTGCATTGTCGATGGGGTGAAGGCACAATGGTCTGATCAAGGACTGGAGATAACCACATCTGCAAAGGCTCATCTTAATTTCAGCTACTAAACCAACAATTATATAAAATACAAGAGGTTGTGCATCTTAGTAAAAATAAACTTCGTTTCTCTAGTCCAGGGGTCAGCTACCAAACAATAACAGCAACCATTTTTTTCGAAATCGGTAAAAAAAACTCAATATTTCAAGAGCCACATTGCATTTGAATAACATCACGAAGCAGTCAAAGAGCCGCATGAGGCTCCGGAGCCGCAGGTTGCCAACCCCTGCTCTAGTCCATACTGCCGGCCAATGGACCAATGTTATTCTTAACATTCAGCAATTCCTTTCAGGCTATGGAACACACTGCAGATAAGACTTCTCCACCCCCGACCCATAAGCCTCACGACTGAGAGCAAAGCACTCCCATGGTAGGCGGCTATACCAAAAACATAACACCCTTTCCCCGGACACAACCAAGGACAAACAGCACTAAACCTGGTCACTTACCTCTTCATCAAAAGATTAACCTTGACAAACTCTAACAATGATCACAAGGACCAGTGGCTGGCAGTATGGACTATAAAAACTGAGTTCTTACCGAGGTAAAAAGTTATCTTCATCCAATACTGTTGACTACCGGTCCAATGTTATGCTGAACATTTACCAATCATATCAGAGATGCTACCTGGAGGAGGGATAGGCCACTCCTTAGATGGCAGCAGACAAAACTGCTCCCGAAGTTGGCGTCCTGCAAAGCCAAGGTGTCCAGTTAATAATAATTTGCAGCTCTGGAGACTGTTGGCCAATGAACAACGCATTTTGTCTGGAAGAGGCGTACAACCATCGTCCTTCCAAATTTCAGAAACGAGGTGGTAGTTACCGAGTCGGTAGAACACACATTTTGCCGGGTTCACCGCCAAACCTTAGTTCTCAAGCAGCCAAAGGACTGGATCGGTTTCCGCTGGAGTTTGGGACATGAGGATGCTCCAATTAGATCGTCCAGATAGGGCAAAATGTGCATACCTCTCTTAACACTGCAACCAAAGCAACGGGAGCCTTGTTGAATGCCCTTGGCCAGGGCGAATGGCACCACAGAGTGCTCTGTTGTCATAGGGCGTAAAACCGCAGGTACTGGAAGTACCACAGGTGCATAGGCATGTGTAGGTAGATATCCTGTATGCATTGGGGGAGTTCCTGATGCAACCATCTTAAAGTGCTTCTCCTGAGGAAGATATTGAGTCTTCTTTCATCCAGGATTGTCCTGAGGTTTTTTTTTTTCTGACCCCAATACATCTGGAGTAAAACCTCACCACACTTCGTTAACTGGTAGCCATGTATCGATTAGCTTGGATGATTAGAAGCTGTAAAATTTCCCGTATGACCACCAGAACAAACTCCGGATCCTCCGGCACAGGTCAAGGTTTGAATGCAAATTAAGGAGCTCTTGGAAGTCCAGCTTGTAGCCCTGTTCCATGACCGCTTTAACTCGAGCGTCTGATGTCGTGTGTGCCCAGGTTTACGGAAATGTGGTAATACAGCCACCAATGCACGCATCCTGACCCGCCTTAGGGAGATTGTTGGGGGGGACCGGTCACTCTCCTTGGCATTTTTATGCTTATGCCCGTACGCTAAAGTGGTTTGCGTTCGCTCGGAACCGAGGCCATTTGAGCTTGTCTTTCGCCTTGCTTCCGGCGAAGCGGGGCTTAGTAGGTCGGTTTGGACGTGGCTTCCGAAGCTGCAGCTGACGACCTTTCTTGATATTTGCCCAATGTCCTGTCTGTTACGTCTGGCAGGACCTGGGAGCTTTCCTCCTGTAGAGAAAGGTGACCTGGGAGCTCCTTCGCAACCACCGTCGCATCCACGCATGGGATCGAAGCGAAAGCTTTAGGGTCCGCCTCATCCAGTGCATAAGGCTGCCCCATGGTCGAAGGGGCCCCTGCTGATTTCACCCACTCTCAGCGGAGGTTTCTTCAGACTCTGGAAGCGGAATCAATGTAATCCTTGACGGTAGATTCCTGGTGACGACGAATGTCTCTGCCATCCATCGGCTGAAATTGCTCCGGTTCAGCGAGCTTGAGTTTGCACCTGATCCTGCATCTGAGCACACGGTCTTGTGAAAACATAAATTTTGCATGAAAGCTGATGTTTATCCTACTGCATTCAGGGCTCCTGGAAGATGTACTCGTCTCGGCCAGTGACGTAATCTTCAGAGATTAACATTTCCGCAGTGAAATGCTGGGTATGTGGAATTGACCTCCGACAGCTGACACTAAGCTAGCAGTGTGCCGAGTCTGGGGCCAACGCCTCGCTGTCTGGTCAAAACCATCGTGGCCTCCGAGGGCATAACTGCCCTGTCACTCCAGTTCGGCCATCATGGTCCAAGAGAAGTCCCTGGATGAGGCTTGTGTTGACTCCATGTCATCGTCCGCTTCTTCTTCCCGAACAGAAGCTGCCCCAGCAACAAAACCCTTGTCCTCGAATGGCTGGCAAGCACCTCCACCACTAGTTTTAGCCATCACTTCAAAGATGTCACCCGCCGTGCTAACATGGCTCCTGCCCGTGACGCTCTCCAAGATCAGCCGAGCCTACGTCCACAGCTACTGGCCACACGACCGAGTGATGCCCGGTCCTCGGCAATAACATCACCGCTACTAGCGGTTGATACAGAGCGGCCCTGAAAAATCAAAAGCCGCTCCAGAAAAAAATTGCGGCCAGTCGCCGCCTGGTCTGAGCACAGCCCGTGATTGGAGCTATAATGTTCTCATACGCTCACCCGAGGGGTACTCGCTGCTACGTGCGATGGGAATGCAGGCCATCAACAGCCCTATGGCAATCGTGAGTGCTTCAGTACTTGCAATGTACTGTTCGCAAGTGCTACTCACACCGCAATTAGACTGTTAACTGTAGGACTCGCGACTAGGGATACACTTAATTGATCGACAACTACTGTGTATCACACCTACGTGCGTGGTGCCGCGGCTGTGGAATGCACCAGCTGGTCCACCACCGTTACTGCACGCTTGCGTCACCTGATATGACCTTTGGCTGGAAGTGACGTACTGGAGGCATGCGCTACAAAAGACACGACCCCTGCTAAACACTGCCGATTAGCAGATATGGGCACATGATGCCAAAGCATATGAAACACATTGTAAGAGGCTGTGTGGGGCTTTGAACCACACTAATTGATGAAAAAGTAAAAAAAACCTGAGATTACCTGATTATCCATGAGGTTTCTTGATTATTTGAGGCTCTATACAGTGAGGGAAAAAAGTATTTGATCCCCTGCTGATTTTGTACGTTTGCCCACTGACAAAGAAATGATCAGTCTATAATTTTAATGGTAGGTTTATTTGAACAGAGAGACAGAATAACAAAAAAATCCAGAAAAACGCATGTCAAAAATGTTATAAATTGATTTGCATTTTAATGAGAGAAATAAGTATTTGACCCCCTCTCAATCAGAAAGATTTTTGGCTGCCAGGTGTCTTTTATACAGGTAACGAGCTGAGATTAGGAGCACACTCTTAAAGGGAGTGCTCCTAATCTCAGCTTGTTACCTGTATAAAAGACACCTGTCCACAGAAGCAATCAATCAATCAGATTCCAAACTCTCCACCATGGCCAAGACCAAAGAGCTCTCCAAGGATGTCAGGGACAAGATTATAGACCTACACAAGGCTGGAATGGGCTACAAGACCATTGCCAAGCAGCTTGGTGAAAAGGTGACAACAGTTGGTTTGATTATTCGCAAATAGAAGAAACACAAAAGAACTGTCAATCTCCCTCGGCCTGGGGATCCATGCAAGATCTCACCTCGTGGAGTTGCAATGATCATGAGAACGGTGAGGAATCAGCCCAGAACTACACGGGAGGATCTTGTCAATGATCTCAAGGCAGCTGGGACCATAGTCACCAAGAAAACGATTGGTAACACACTACGCCGTGAAGGACTGAAATCCTGCAGCGCCCGCAAGGTCCCCCTGCTCAAGAAAGCAAATATACATGCCCGTCTGAAGTTTGCCAATGAACATCTGAATGATTCAGAGGACAACTGGGTGAAAGTGTTGTCGTCAGATGAGATCAAAATGGAGCTCTTTGGCATCAACTCAACTCGCCGTGTTTGGAGGAGGAGGAATGCTGCCTATGACCCCAAGAACACCATCCCCACCGTCAAACATGGAGGTGGAAAGATTATGCTTTGGGGGTGTTTTTCTGCTAAGGGGACAGGACAACTTCACCGCATCAAAGGGACGATGCACGGGGCCATGTACCATCAAATCTTGGTTGAGAACCTCCTTCCCTCAGCCAAGGCATTGAAAATGGGTTGTGGATGGGTATTCCAGCATGACAATGACCCAAAACACACGGCCAAGGCAACAAAGGAGTGGCTCAAGAAGAAGCACATTAAGGTCCTGGAGTGGCCTAGCCAGTCTCCAGACCTTAATCCCATAGAAAATCTGTGGAAGGAGCTGAAGGTTCGAGTTGCCAAACGTCAGCCTCGAAACCTTAATTACTTGGAGATCTGCAAAGAGGAGTGGGACAAAATCCCTCCTGAGATGTGTGCAAACCTGGTGGCCAACTACAAGAAACGTCTGACCTCTGTGATTGCCAACAAGGGTTTTGCCACCAAGTACTAAGTCATGTTTTGCAGAGGGGTCAAATACTTATTTCCCTCATTAAAATGCAAATCAATTAATAACATTTTTGACGCGTTTTTCTGGATTTTTTTTGTTGTTATGTCTCTTACTGTTCAAATAAACCTACCATTAAAATTAGACTGATAATTTCTTTGTCAGTGGGCAAACGTACAAAATCAGTAGGGGATCAAATACTTTTTCCCCTCACTCTGTGTTAATAAAATCCAATTGCTTGACTCATATCTAAGATGGCTATTGCCTCAACTGCAACTCATCCAGAGATGTAGAAAGAGTGAGGTTTATGGGTAGGCGGTAGGGAAGGGTGATGATTAGCACAGTTGGCTAGGTATCGTGCGAAAAAAGTTCTAAATAAATACATGATGGTGGGGGTAGACACTTTGTGCCCCGGCCATCAGTTTGTGCCTGCCCTCAAAAGTCTTATCTGCAGCGAGTTTTGCGGCCCGAAGGAAAATTGCTGAATGTTAAGAAAAATATTGGACCGTTGGCTGGCAGTTTCGGACTAAGAGAAAACAGTCATCATGTGGAGTTTAAAAGCTGGTTGCCTCAAACCTCAAGAGTTTAGCAGCTATGCTATGGTCAGCACTGTTAAGGCACTGCTTACAGTGCAGGCGGAACCAGTCCATTCGTTCATATGCACAGATCACTGATTGCATGACAATGTGAAATTAATATTCGTAAGCATGCAGGAAACTTTCCTCTACAATGCAGCGTTAGGATTGTTACGGTTAGACACCAAGAACCATAATATGAGCCACACAAAGTGACATTCATAGTTGTAATCTGCCTGCTTGTAAGCCAGTTGGTGGGGTTAATCTTAGGACATGTTTAGCAGATAATGCTGTGTCCCATACTTAACATTAGCTTGCAAAAATACTTTCTGGGTCTGTCAACCAGCACTTACATCCTTAAAAATCTAAACAAATGCTGAACTCCATCAGAACAGTAGTTTTCACCAGCATCTACAGCAGCACAAAATAGCAGTTGGTATTATGTAAGCACTACTCTAACTATTAAGTGACAATGACCGATTCACATTTCACATGGCAATTTTGAAAATGATTGCGTATATTTGGTTGTAAATTATCTTGCAATATTATGGCCACACAGCACAAACTGTTTATTTTCTCCATTTGATTTTACATCATAGTTTGCGAACATAAATGATTTGCAGTTAAGTAAAGTCATTAAATAGATACTTTACAGCTCACCAACTCCTGTCCAAATTTAGAAATTTCGGATTACATTTCAACAACCGGTTGTCCCAAGCCTAAATTACGTGATTTCTAGCCATTCGGCACAGCACATGCACAGCAATGCATCTCACACAGACTTAAAAACGCACACTGGCCTACTAAACGCTCACACCATAGCAGCTCAGTTGGAAGAGCACCCTCACAAAAAGGCTCACTGCCTTCACCCACAGCACAATGCAAGGCCGTGGGGGTGTGCCAGCTGTACGGTGCTTACAATAACAAGCATTCCACAGGGCGTCACTTCTCTCAACAGCCATCTCATGATTATATTAATATCAATGTTGAAACAATAAAAAGTACTTCTGCATGAAACATAGGGGCTCTCAACTACAGTCGGGTACATCTAGCTAATTATTTAAATACTACTCAGAAGCATGTCTGGGAGGTACACAAGTCTTAAAATTGTTTCTAATTAGCCATTAAACAGCTTCACCCAAATATTTAGTTGAAAGTTTATCCAAACACATTTTATTCAGATCTGTAAATATTATTTGAATTTTTTTAAATAACCGACTAACATTTCGTCACAATAAAGTAAACATCTGCCTAGCATTATTTTCACAACATTCTGGCAATGAATTGTAGTTTTCACAAATGTTTCCTATTTTCCTACTTCCATGGTTTGACAGTTAATACAAATCAAATCTAACATTCATCTACATATATCAAGATCAAACAGAAACCCCGGCCTGGGTGGTGGCTGAAGTTAGCAGTCTACAGTGATCTTATATAAAATGGGGGGCTACTTGATATGAAAAAGTATTACCCATTCAAATACATGTACCATAGGTAAAGTGCTTGAATATTCATGTAAAACTATTTCACCCCAACCTAATTCTTAGACAATTCTTGAGTTATCTTACCAAATCCAGCCATTTAAAATCTGCTTACTTGATTTTGGCATTTCTGAATATAAGACTACTTACTAGACTTAAGTGTTACATTTTTTTAAAATCTAAATCTACTTTGTTGCACAATTTATGTGAACGCTTAAGACTTGATTGCGAAAGCTTTTCAAAACCTTAAATTTCACGAGAGATCTGTACACTGTCCTACTTGCCCAATATCGAACTACCGCGAAAAGGTCACACTTAAAACTTACGCAGCATTTGGTTAAATGGCCAAAGCCTTTGAGATCAAATATCAAGTGCTGCTGCTGTCAGTGTGCTTAGATGTCAGCACCAGATGTAAAAAAACGAAGTGTCACCCTACATTCTCCATGCAGTGCGACCAGTTTATGAATATGCCCTAAAGCACTGTATGGATTAAGCCCCCAAATGGACTGTATTACTGTAGCTTGAAACTCTACCGAGGAAGAAAAATCGAGTATATGCATGGATTGTCTAACTATCCAAAATGAATGTCCTTCATGTTTTATTAATTTCAGTAAAATCCTGGATGGCCGAAATTCGGCAACTCATATTTTGGATAGCTGGATTTTCCTCACAGTCATACCGAATCCACTTATTAAGAAACATCTTTAACGTGTACATTTCATGTAAAATTGTGTAACTAAAACGATAATTTACTCATTCTAGTTTGGAATATGCAATGCAATAATCTATAATAAAATGCAATAAAACAGGTATTAAGTGTAGAATGTAGTTAAAGTGTTAAATTGACTTATGGCAATACATTACTTCTTTTACAGGAGGGATAGGGCAGGGCTATGGGGGCGGTCGCACCAGCATACCTTCAGACTGACCATAACCACAGTGAAATATTGTACACACAAGTATGTTTTGTCTGTCAACGAACAACTGCACACGAATATTAAATACACATACTATGCTGTACATGTGTATATGTAATACACGTGTGTGTAGACGATGTAGAAATCTGAAATACACGTGTGTATTGTTTTTTACATTGATTGTATGGAAATTTGAGCTGGCCAGGCTTTTCAGTTAGCCAGAACAGGGCTTCCCCTATTAGTCACGGCTAGTCTGGGTTTAACTGAAGTTCATAATTAGCAATAATATATTGAGGTGCAAAACAATGACGTCTCGCAGAACATGACGCCGCAAGATGATGTGACAATGTCATGCAATGTGACAAATTGTTGGTTTAAAAGGAATTAACATTATCACTGTTTTTTATCATTACATTGTGGGTAAACCTATCAATGTGCCCAGTTTTCTATACAGCAAATACTCATGGCAACAACCTGAAACTAATGTTATTTTGCGGGATCATCTTCACAAGAATGACTGTGACCCCATGTTATGCAGATGTACAGAGCTAACTAACCTTAAAAGCACCACACCACTCTAGGTCATGCATAATGCATTCATGAATGTCACTAAAGCAGAGTAAACTATTTATTTTCTAACATTCTCATGAAAGTGACACATTTGGGAAAAACCCAAGTTACATCCAGGTCCATCCCTTGAAATCCTTTACGGGTCAATATTAATCAACCACCAACCTGACTTTTTTAGCAGCAAAGAAAAATAGGTTGGCTGCTGTGCCTGTATGTGACATGAGTCTTCAGTTCAGGAATTAACAAAATTAAGCTTAAGAAAATGTTTTACAATTGTTAAATCATATAATTGGTGACTGCAACCACAATGCCGGGATATCAAACCAAGCAGCTGTGCTGACTCAATATTTTAACACACATTACAACACAGTCCAAGAAAAAAATCGGCCAACTCCACTATGGTGTCCATTAGGAAGAGTTTTGAATTTTCACTTTTTGGACAAATTTGGATCTTTCAGATTTTTAGATCTACATGTTGTAATAATGTAAAGCGTCTTAGTGCTAGCAAGTATGACGTCACCCAATGCCATGTGAGACAATTAGTGGAAAACTACGGATGTGACGTTACTGAAAGTGGAATCACTTCCTGTAACGTAATTTTCACATAAATCCGAAAGAAAATAATTTCTGATTGTCCAATATTTTGTATCTAGGGCCAATTTTCAGAGTAACCTGAACATTGAGAACATATCCATTGTGCTTATCTATATACACACACAATTTACTAACGCCATTGTGTGTGCTGTGATTCAAAGGCACATCTTTGAGCAGAGAAACCCGCACAAGCTTTCAAGCACAAGCCTCCGCACGGTTTTAACAACGGAGTCAAACATGCAGTAGGCGTGCGTCAGCGCGATCCCCTGCACAGCCATCAGGGGGGAAAACCCAATAAGGATACAGTGAAATAAATGAAGTATTGAATTTTGCTTTGACGTCAGAAATTTAATTCTTAATGTCACTTGAATTTGCGTCAAAGAATTAAATTGATTGAAAATGTACGAAGGCTTGGTGGGCTGTGTGTAGAGCCAACCTCTTAAGTTGAAGGTTCACAGATTCCGCCTCAAGCAATGTCCACTCACCCCGATGAATACTTTTGCAGGAATGCCAAACACATGGATGGGCATGCGGATTTCACATTAAGGCGACTACTGTGAATTGTGGTGAAAACTAAATAAAACAATATATCCACATTAATGTAATATTTGCAGTATTTTTCAAGATGGCTTTCCATAAGTCACATCAATGATAAATTGTATTAATAAATTTAAAAGCACACATTTTATTTTAGGAATTATAACTGATAAACAAACCATAACAGTCTGTTTTTTAACAGTTAGGGATTTTACTGAAATGCACTACACTTGGAAGAACATTTCATAGAGCACCCTTTATGAAGATAACCATAATACTTTGAGGTTACTTCACATCATAATGTGCCTTGAATGAAACATCTCACCCGGATCTGGTTTTTCAGCTGGTCGGCCTCCTGTCGTAACTGCTCCAACTCGCTCATGTTTTCCCTCTCAGTCTTACGCCTCTCTTACGCCCGTTCGCTCGACGGCTCCTTGCTCACTTGTCCCCCAAAGGCCGTCACCTCACACAAGCCGGTTTCGCAGACCTGAATATAACAAAACACACGCAAATACAAATCCGCGCACACAAAGGGGTGAAAGCAATTACAGTAACAATGTTACCATATCATTATTACAGTATAAATGAACATTAATTATATTAAATTCACAACTGTGCATTAAATTTACATTTTTACTTCTCAACAAGGACAAAGCAACCTCCAGAATGCAAATTATCAGTGTGCAAACATGCATAGACAAGCAATAAAAGGAAAAAAACATCTGCGTAGAGATGTAACCGAAGGCTACATAAAATGAGTGGAGATTTGGCCAAGGGCAACATTGCCGGCTTGTCAGAAACCTAAAACATGCTTTCTTTACAGATATTTTTGGATATATTTTTTACATAATCACATCAGTTACACGTAGGGACTGGAAGTGTTAAAATAGTAATGACGCACAGACGAGCTGCTACCCATACTACGTTTTTAATATCACAATGAAAGCTTTATTTTTGAAGACAACGTTAAAGGAGAAAGGCTTCCTGGAAATCCTGACCTCAAAACGTCAAACGAAGGGGTTTTTTTTGCTGCACACGCTTACGTTTGTTTGCACTCTCGCTCGGCGCAGATCAGCCAACCGTGAATAGACTGCTGGGCCAAGGCCCGCTGTGGGAAAGGGGGCAGACACAAGGCAGGCCTGTTCAGAGACGTCACCCGACCGTTACACAAGGGCCTGTGCGCAGGAGGAGCGATCGCGAGAGCAGGGCGTCGCCGAATGACGCTGCCGCGCCTGTGTCCTTAAAAAATAAATAATTCCACAGCACCACCCCACGCACAAAGATGAATCTCGCCGGTTGCTTTCAGCATGTAAACATCAGAGATTTGCTTCACATTTTGCACAGGAACACAGAAGGTATTTTTTTCCCCCTTGACACATTACGAGGGCGCAAATAACCCCAAAAACTAACACTCATAGCAAAATAAAAAGTACGAAAATTTGAAAAAGATTTGCAACAAGAAGGCCTGAACGAACAATAAACGCGATAAAAGATGCATGCCCTCGCCATCACGCGATGGCTCAGCATGTGATAGCTCTCAGTCTCATTAATATTTCACGTGTGCCGGGGAGGGGAGGGGAAGGCCGCAACCAAGAGACACATGGAGGGGGAGAGGGTGGGTGGGAGATGGGGGTTTCACCAGGCCCACCCATCCCACTAGCTCAGCAGGAAGCGGCCATTTAGGTGGTCCCTGGGCACTGGCCGATGGCAGCCCTAATGTGCTCGTAGCTAAAACCACGGACTTTGCAGCTCAAACGGCACCCTAATGCAACATGCGTGTATCAGCAATGAGACAAAATGACGAGCAAACAAAGGAGGTATTGTTGCACTCTAAGATTGTCCCCTGTATTGTAATTGTTACAACAACGTACAAACACGACATTCTGCAAATAATTCCGTAAATATCGGTGGGTTTTTTTACACTTTCATGTTGTTATTTTTCCCCATAGAGAACGGGGAAAACCCACTCGCACAGGAGGGCGTGCAATAATGGAAGGCCCTAGAAAATGGCTTGGCAGGCTCACTGGGGTTTTTGTTGCAATGAATTGCACACAGCACACGAGGTACAGACACTGCAACTACATGAGAAATAGCATTACATGGGCAAAACAGATGGCCTAATCGTGCATAATCGGATGCCATCATATCAGATACAAGTGCAGAGATCCTGCTTTATCTGAATTAACATTAAGAATTTCCTGGTTTGTATTAAGGAGATCAACATTGAATACCCAGCTCCTGTGACTAAAATATCGTCGGCAAAGGATTAAAGGGGCTGCCATTCTTAAAACATCACAAAACTACATGCATATACTTTACTTCAGACAGTCCAATTAAAAGAGAAATATAGCTTGTAAAGAATCGTAGGCATTCTTGTGCAAGGTGCATGCCTTGCTGGGTTGCTGCAGCAGGTTATTTTAAATCTGAACAAAACTCATAGGCATGGCTGAATCTAAAAGCAAATCTGGCCTAGAGCAGTTACTGAATGGTGGTCGCATAACATGGGCACCAACATCTTGTCAATCAGTAAAATCCTGCAGGCTATGATTACATTCTTAATGCTAGTTTGAATAGAGAGCAGTATGCTTCCAATGGCCACCAACATCTTGGAGAAACGAAGCCCACATATGGGAGAGGCGCCAGACCAATCACATAAAAAAATGGCACTCCCAAAAACACAGGGTGATGTTTCCCACTTGTGAGGAAATAAATGGCACCCTGACCACAGAATTAGTATAAGCCTTGTCCAATGTTTGCCGCATTCACCAAAACTCGTGAAGCATATTTGCACTTGTGAACACAGCGTTCCACTAAAACAGTTCAATCTTTTCCATGTACACAAGGATATTTCTAGACAAAGCATATTCCTAACAACAGCATTTTTAAACCAAAGTAATCGGCCAATTTTATGTATAAACAAACCCAAGCTTTAAGGTACAGTTCTACCCATGATAAAAATGTTACTATACTTACGGGAACAAAGAAAAACATGGTGGTGAGTAACAAGTGAGCCGAGTCCACGCTCCAAGCATATCCTGATATCATGGATAAAGATGCGACAGAGGGCTCTGCTCAGTGCTTATATGTTAAGTTCACTGACCAAGAAAGTTTTTTTTAAAGCAATGTACTAGTTGCTTTGAGCGCAATTATGTAGGCAAATGTATAAGAGCAAAACATGCAAGTGCAATATTTCATGGGGCACACAATACAGAAGCTTTCAAAGTGAAGAACCTTTTCCTGTACACACACTTCAGGCAGAAAACAAAATTCAAAGTTGAAACAGTATAAGGGCATTTAAGTGCTTCCATGCATCTTTGTATCATGAAATATCCCATTTCCTCATGTAACTGCATCTCAGCACTGCTGTAATATATAAACATTGTGCTGTTAATGTTTTAAAATGCATATTGTCTTACGTTAAAAAGCAAAAAAATGGCTGCAAAAGATTGTCAATGTGCAATCAGCAGGCTCGCATGTACACACATTGAAAATTACACTATATTTTGATCAAACTTTACATGACACTCGAGGCACTAAAAACACGTTTTAAAATTAACAATTTCAGAAAGACCTATGCACTTGCAGGCAGTGCAAATCTTCAAATCCCACACAGATGGTTTGCCCTTTTAATCGCCATTTTCTTGTTTTCAGTGCATGGATGTGGCCATGTGCCCTCGTGTGATTTTTGGCATCCTCCGAAAACTTCACAAGCCAGCACGAGGCCACCAATTTGAACACATTTTACAGTAATCTCTTAACAGAAGGAACATCTTATAGTGAACCTAAACGGGCCAATAAGGTTCACTGTAAATCCCCAAACGCAGTTGTATAACACTACAACACGCCCTTTTTTTACAACTGCATATTTGATAACCTTCCTGAAGCCAGAGATATATGACTGGGCGTGGTGGAGCTTGGTTGGTGAATCACGTCGAGATCAGATGCGTGTCACCCAGTGCATTGAGTAGGTCGCTGACCTATTTGTATGCATCTAAGTCCCGTCTCTGGGTATTAGCTTCCTCTCGCATGTAAGGAAACCCAAAAGGTGTCCGCCTAAGATCACAAGCAATCTGCATTGAGACATTTCACAACAGCAATCTGAGCAATAGAACTATTACATAAACAATCTCACAGGCACAACACTCTAGAGTCATGCTATGAAATTTAATACTGGATATTTGCACCCAGTCTGATAAAACTGAGTCATGTCAAACATATTTAAACGAACCAATTAAAAATGTAGGCAACTGTTACATGGTAAGTCTTATCTTTAACTCGAATGTCTTTCTGGCTCTTGTGAAAATTGCACCATACTCGACAACTGTATAGACTTTTAATTTTTAGGACCTTATTTACAAGCTAACTTCAGGGCCGTCAAACTGTTCTGTGTCACAAATTAAAAATGTTTAGTTCATGTCCTATTATGTTTAGGTATATTAGGCACCAAAACCAGTTTCATCTGCTCAAAGGTCAATGGGTGACCTTAACTACAAATAGGCATCCACGGAAACAACTGGTTTCCAACTGCATTTACTTCTACATGGGAACATCTGAGGTTAATATCACACGTGTAAAATCACGAGACTTTGAATCAGGGTTGCTGGATCAGATGCAGCCAGGGCAAATCAAATAGGTTTCTGAGAATATTACTTGTGGATTAAGTGGTATATCCCCTTGCAAGTGTAGTTTTTCTCTCGGCATGCCACTTCCTCCCAAGCACAAAAACTACTCAAAAACAGGAACTGTCTTAAAACATCCCACAGCAGGATCCTCCTGAAAGATCCCTGAGGCATAGCAAGGCTTTCCTGGGTAAACAATCATTATTACAAAAGATATTTTAACGTCACAGCATGACAACCAAATGTAGCATTTATATACAAACTGTGAGCAGGAGGTCATGCAGCAAGTTCCCGTTTAAATATTGTTAATCTGAAACAGGTAAGGAACTGACGCCAATCACAACCACATTTGTTAGGTATACTAGATATTGGAACAAGTCCTGACAGGTTGTTCAGGGAAAAACAACTGCTGGACAGCTTTCATTGAACATGGCATCCCTTTCTGAACAGAATCAGTCATCAAGTTGGACAGGGGACTTGCACATAAAAGCTATACAGAATTCACTCATCATTATCGCAATGGTCACAAGAAAGAAATAACTTAGGAGCAAATGTCCACCGTCATTAAGAGTACTGTGGTGGGGAGGGACTCAGTTCAGAGCTATGTGTGTACCAGTATTTCCACTCGGCCTCAGGACTCCCTGCAAGGGACTACACACGGGTGGTGGCAAGCACATCTGGAGGGGAGCAGGTGCAGTGTGGTGTATGCAGAGATTACAGGGAAAAAAAAACACTTTTATTGTTTGAAGACCAGTGTCATTTAAAATGCAACACTAAAAATAATGTGTTAGCGATTAGATGCACACAGCAATAAGATGTTCATCACAGGCTGACTTGCACCATGTGTCCAAACTTGCTCCACTGACAAAACATGTCAATTTTGAAAATAACGTAGGGGTATTGGCTTTATGGGTGAAGCCCATTCAGCATTCCCATGAATTATGAAAAAGCATAGGTGGGAATAGGGTAATTTCACATGCCTGTTCACACTCCTTCCATATCGGCTCACCATTCCCCTTTCTCCTCACCCTTTCGCACCCTGCCTCTCTTCCACATCAGAATCACTGCATTCAGCCCTCCCCTCATCTCCCAGGAGCCTCCACCACCAATCCATCCAGCCCTACTCCACTCTCCCCCTCCCTACACGGCCCATGCACATTGCATAACAGCGCGTGTTCGGTCCTGCTCATTTTAGGATCCCACATTTGCAACATTTTCCTGGGCGTTTATTGGGAGGCGAAAATTAACCATGAAGCAAGGAACACCTTATTCCGCACGATGCATGTACCCAAGCCCCCCCAACATGCCACGCGTGTACACTCTGCAGCCACAAGAGGGCGACTGAGACGGGGGAACAGACGCACAAACGTGGCCGTGCGGTTACACACAGACACTGTCTCATTGGCGGCTGGGTTTCACAATGGCCCGGGGTGAGCATGCAACGCAGGTGCTCTGACCCAGTTTTGATTTCGGATCAAAGATTTGCCGGTTCGACGCTTCAGCTTGAATCTTTAAATCTCCCCCCCCCTCAACACGCATGCAAACTTGAAATACGGGATGCGATACGGGCGTAGGAATTGAGACAATCAACACCCGGGCTGCCTCAAAGGGTCGGTTGCATGACTGTATCGTGCATGGCTGCGAGCTACCTAATGCACACACCGTGCACAACAACGGACGGCTGGAGAAGGCTTCTGTGCTTTCTATGCACACCACACACCCTGTACTGTACGTCCAAAATCAAATTCTTCTCGTGTCTCTTCCCGAGCACCGAGGCGTCACTCCTCCACTGTCGCCGTCTGTCATTGCCGCCGTTGAAAAATCCCACGTCCCAGGTCGCTCTCCTTAATCAACGTCGCGTCCAACGCCGACCGCCCTCTGCCAAGCAGCGCTCAATTTACCCACCCTGCAGGGCAAACTACGATGGCTGGGGGCAACGAAAAACAATGGTTACAACGGCGAAGGGTCGACTACCTACCACCACCGTGCGCTCCGCTCGCTGCCCTATCCGTATACTGTACACAGCGGACACACGTATACGTGCACACGTTCGGCGCCAATACATGTGGGAGGCATACGAAGAACGCAATGCTCTGCAATGTCTGCACGCGTCCAAACAATACGTCTCAAAAAAAGGGTGGTGGTGGTGATGGGGGGTGGTTGGAAGCCTTTTAAAAATGGAGTAACAACAGCACGGCAATCCGCGGGCACTGCGAATTACGCGAAGCATCGACGACTGCACGGACGAAAGATCGAACCGGGGGCCCCATTTCTCGGCAAATATCCCCACCACCACCACCAACCACCTCCCAATGCGTGGACGTGCAGAACGAAAAAACACGGGGGGGGGGGGTGGTGTGTGGTGACATTTTTTGTTGAAACAATGACCCTCAAAATATCCGTTGGATTTTACAATGAAACCTGTGCCCCCCCCGCCCGCCGGTTTTATTTCTGCAATAACAACAACAATAATAATAGCAACGATCACGTACCTTCACAGACACAGCGGGCTCGGGCTCGCAAAGCCACCGACCGCGGCGCTTGTTTAAAAAGCAGCACACACACACGCACACACGCCCACCCCCAAGAAGCACAATGATTAAATCCGTTCGCGGCAACAAATGAATGTTACACAAAAAAAATCCCAACTAAGCAAAGGCACTACCCCCCCCACCCCCCTTTAAAAAATGTGCGCGTTTAGACAAATCTATTTAGCTCAGAAATAAAACGAAGACGAAGAGGGGGGGGGGGGGTTGGGAGAGATGGCTAAAGAGGAGGAGGATGAGGAGAGGAAGAGGCCCCCGAGATCGCGGGGCGCGGTGCCTCGCTCGCTTCTCTGTTCTCGTCTCGCGAAGCGAACAGAGAGCGGAGGCGTGAAAATGGCCGGCAGAGAGCGGGCAGGCGAATTATTTCATTAAATATCAACATTTTAGAGAGAGAGAGAGGGGGGGTAAAAATGATATTTTACAAAAAATTACACCAACGCTGCTCGTTGGTTGCGTTACTAGATCGAGACGTGCACGCGTATACACGGGTGACACGTGAAATGCGAGCGATTGCACACGCTGTACAATACAAAAAACATGCACGGATTAAAGCGGTACGTACATATGAAGGCAACACGGGGTGGGGGGGGTGGTGTGTTTGTTACCGACAAGATACTGTGATTCTAAGGGCATTTTCGGCAACGGCCTTCCTACGGAAGCAGTGTTTTACAGACAATATGCAGTCGTGTTTCTTTTTTTAATGATGGATATTAAAATGTATTAAGGCAGTCCGGGTACTGTATTGCATGTGCGACGAGCGATGCACTGTGGTAGCACACGACGGTGTAACCGCGCACAAGCACGTACGCTTCCCGCGCCTAGGGCTGTGAAATTAACCGACTCAAACGACGGCAATGATCACAACAAAGGATTATATTGCTTGTACAATACGGGTGATTATTTATAATGCAAAGCAGAATCAGCGCGGCCGCGTTTAATGAGATGCGGCATTGGCACCAAAGCGGCTTAACAGCCCAGGCACCAGCCGCGGCTTAAACCCAAACGGGTTTAACCTACCACCTCCAATTAACGAGACATTATAGCTCACACCACAGTCGCAATAATTAGTATCATTACGTTTATGATTATAACTGGTGTTGTTATGTAACAACAATCGTTAAGATGATTTGGAGCGTCGCTAGTCGAGCCAGGCCTCACCCCGCACCGCAGGCCCGAGCCGCCACTCGCACTAATTTGTTCATTAAACAGCGTTAATTGGTTAGAACTTGCAATGTTGGTGTTGTTATTTGTGAGTGCGATTGTTTGGCTGTATTGTGTGTGGTGGTGGTCGTGTGCGAATGGGATTTTACCTGACGGCGAGGCTGATGTTGGGGCTTTTCCAATGCCGGCTGGCTCTGCCTCAGCGGAGTTATTTTATTATTTGTCTTATTACAATGTCACGATTTTACGGGGCTATATTTTTTGTTACAATTGGATATAAACGCTTGTCCAAATGTTTAACGCAATCAATCTGACGAGAAAACTTTCCTACTTCACGCGTATACACTCTCCTTCAAAACAATCTTAAACGGGGGAAAAAAATATATGAAAAGAAAATTAAAAAAAACCCCGTCTAACAACGACGCCGCTAAAATAACCAACACCAAACGAACGAGGAACGATGATTATTACTTTATTTCAATTCCGTTAATTAAGCAAATTTAAAACGACGGTAATGTTAAACCTAACGCCGCCGACGCCGTCGTGGTTCCAACGGACGCTGCGCGCGCGCTCATCCGCAGGAAATGGGCGCGGTAGCCGCCGCCCCAACGAACGGACGCGCCAGGCGCCCCGAGGGCGCTTCCCAACGCGGCGTGGTCCTCGCGCCCGCCGTTGTCGAGCGCCCTCGGGGCGGGTAGGCGCGTGTAAAAAAGAGTCGTATCGAGCGCGGCAGCGGCGGCGGAGGCAAGTTTGCCCCCCGGGCCCGCCTCGCGCTGGGGCTTTGCGTGAGGGGCGGGGCGCGGGAGACGAGCAGGGGGGGGCGGGGCTGTTAGGAAGGGGGTGGGGAGGAGGCCATGGGTGGGGGGGTGAGCGCTTGTTATTTATTTATTTACTTCGTAGTTTCGGGGGGGGGGCGCGCGCGCTAAGTCACGCCTACAAATTAGTCCCCGCCTCTTTCTTTGTCTCCCCCCCCTCCCCCCGCCGTCTCACCCAGCCCTGTGCGCGAGTTGGGGAAACCCCGCGTTGGCTGCACGCAGGGTTTAGATTTCCCAACGCGGATGCGCACGTAAAGGAGTGAGGAATGTAAAAAAAACCGTCTCGTTGGTGGTAGGCAGATAGGGGAGGGGTGGTCGTGTCAATGCGCTGTGGGAATTCTAAGGCGTTAAACAACATAGACTGGGAGCAGACTACAGTCCAATAATGGATATTGCTGCATTGCCGTCTGCTGTTCACAATGCAGACCCAACCACAGCAGCAAGCCTGCAACTGCAGTCGCCCAATCCGTGCAATATCCAGGCCCAAAAATCTGCTTAGCTTCCAATATCAAAATCTGATTCGGCCAAAGGCGTGACCGCCTGTGCGCAGTAGGAAATCTCAAACGCGGCGACAATGCTTATGCGTGGTGGGAAATGTAAACCTGTTGGGTTCCACGCCTATATGTGGTGGGAAAAACGAAAAGGATGGGTGGTCTTGCTTGTGCGTGGTGGGAAATTCGGGGGCGTTGAGCAGCAAAGGTCTTCGTGATGATATGATGGTGGTTGATGGTGATAAAATGAAGATGCATTTGATGACCAACAGCTCAGGTCTCCCAAATAGAGACACTGTCACAATGCCATTCAGGCACTGAAACAAGATGCAGTGCGGTCCTGCGTATATATTTTATTTATTGTTAATTTAATTCTTAATGGAACACGTCATCCGCAGGAGATGGAATGATGAAATCGCTTCTCATGCAGCTGCCGGCTGTATTGTTGCATCGCGGGATCGTGAGATATTGGTGGTGGCTTCGGGAGACCTCCATCCAGCAGTGGATTTATCATGGCTGATAATAAATAATAATCATGTATTTCTTACTGTTTAGCAAGTGGAATATCATTGGGGCATAATGATGCTGATGATGTTCAGCGCAATTCATCATGATTGTGAATTTTAAGGAGCTAGTGAATGTTGAAAAATCATTAATATCTTGAGATGTTAATTAAAATCTATTGCAGCAGATTGTGGTTAATTGTGATTGAATTGATGATGATGATGAAATGGAGTTGGTATTAATCCAGCTCTCGATTTATCAATTACACATTTTTTCTGATGAGCTATTTCATTAATGATGACATAATAACGGTATAATTGATTATCGTGATCACCATGACAATGACATCATCACGGATGTCTAGTGTAACTAAATCTTGATTCATACCTATAGTTATTGTATTGATGATCATCATGATGTTGCTGTTGCTTGGACAACAATATCAGCATCGTCGTAATATCAGTAATGTTGAACTCGTGATTAATCTCGATAATGCGACGAGGATGAACAGGATCGTGAGCATCGCCATTATGAATTGGGTGGTCGTCGCGAGATCTCGTGATCTCACGATGATTTTGGTGCTCACCATCATGGTGATCGCAGTGAGATCACAAAACGTCACGATCACCACTCCATTCATAATACATTTGCGGTGACGTCATCCGCACGTTGACTCTCACGCACAGGCCTCCCATCCCTACGTGTATTTATCGACCACCATGAACAAATTTTTAATTTACAGTATCTTGAATTGTGAGCTTAGGGAAAAAAAAAACTAGATGATGCTGACCATGTGCTCTTGATGATGGAAATTATGCTGAGCGACGCTACGAGAACCCACGATCACCACTAAATTTATCATGCATTCACGATGACATCATCTCACAGTGTCCCTTGAACGCAATCCTCCCATCTCAACGTCGTGTCCACCAAGCCCATAAATCAAAGATTGTATTTGTATGAACATGTTTATGATGTGCAATTGATGAAAAGAACATATGAGCGAGATTGTGGGATTTCATGATCTCACTCATCAGCATTTTCACCATCAGTCGCACTTAATAATCATCGTCGTCAATATTTAGCAGAATACAATATCTGAGGTCCCGAGATCTTAGGGTGCCCACTCAATCCCTCATCATAAATTCACGGCGACGTCATTTTACACTGGCAGCTACGCCCAGCACTCCCATCCCCACGTGCTTCCACCACCCCCAGCAAAACGAGTGTCCTCGTGCCGGCTCAGTCAGGGGACGCCGTGGGGGCTTCTCTCAGGCGTGACGTGTGGGCGGTGGTGGCGCGAAGGCAAAAGCAAATAAGCAAAACCTTACGGCCTCAAGTATCCTAAAAAGGCCCCAGATTTTAAAACCAAAATTAGGTGCACGAAAACGCCGTCTCAAATTTTGCGCCATATAAGCACGACAATCTGTTAATGCTAATACCATGATTAAAATATATTAGTCGCATTAAGCACGCGAACGCATTTATCTCATCTCGATACATAGCTCACCGCCGTCAGTATGTATTCATCTCACTAGGAACGTATAAAATCGAAAGAGAGGGGGAGGGTGGGTGGACAAAAAAATATATTTTTCTGCTTAGATTAGCCACCCCCCCCCCCCCCTCGGTGTGCTTGCACCACCACTGCGTTGGGGGGAGCGGGAGTGGTGTCTCTCTCTCTCTCTCTTGTCTCTCCGTCTCTCCACATCCCCGTGGCGTTCTCTGTCATCCCAGTGAAAGGGAGAGAGAGAGAGAGTAGGGGACGCGAGCCCGGTGTCTCCCAGCCCCTCCCGTAGATAAACCCCACGCTTCCCATTATTGAGGCCAACATTGCGGAAAACGAGACGTACAGCAGCCCATGGCGCGCACACACACATTTTTTTAAAAAAAATATATCTAATACAGCAACAACCTCAGCTCAGCCATCACACAAGACCTCGCAGCATTACAGCGATTTAATTAATTTCGCCAAAAAAATAAACTCATCCGTAAACACTAATGATATAACGTAATGATGTGCTGTGTGCAGCTCAATTATTTTGTTCGCTTGTGTTTTCACATTTTAAAAGAGACAATGCGTGCGCTGTGTGTGTGTGAGAGAGAGCGTCGGCGTTATTTTGTATGCGTCGTGTGCGATGTGTGATGTGCAACGCATGGGGCACACGCACACGCACGCGCGCGCGCGCACGCACGCACGCGCGCTTACGGACCCGTAGGCGCGCGCCGTTCTATACTGTAGGGAATACGACAGCTTCCACACGGCAGTAGGTGCTATACAATAGGCAGTGGCGGGTTGACACGGGAGCACCGCAGAGAGAGAGAGAGAAGCAAAAAAGGGTCGGCGACCGCGAGATAAAAACCTGCCTGCTGCCCTGCTGCCCAGAATGAGCGGAGGGGTTTATGGAGGAGGTAAATGCTGGACAGCGACCCGGTGGGGTTTCTGCACGGCTGCGTGTGTGCGCGTGTGTGAATGTACGGAGGCGCTCGCTAAACAGTACTTGCTCATAGAGTATTTTAAAGGATATACGGTTTAGTGTGTGGTGTATGCCATGTGGGGGGAGCGGTGGCGCAGTGGTTAGCGGACTGCGAACCCCGCGACGCGAGTTCGATTCCCGCCGGTGGCGGATACAGAATTTTAACCGGTCCTGGGCCTCCCCTAGGTCGACTCAGCTTTGAATGAGTACCCGATGCGGTGTGTTAATATCAGCGTTGGAGAGCAAAAGGCGGTCGGCTGTGGTGCTGGCCACCCATCCCTTTCGTGTGCCGTGCCGGCCTTCTTAGGTGCTCGCTAACAGCACTTGCCCCAACAGTCCGTTATAGGCTATACGGGGGATCTTTGTCGTCTGGTATACGCACACACATCCGTGTATGTACAAAAGTGCATGCATGTATGTGACCATGTCTTTTTGCGTGTATGTATGGGTCTGTGTGCGTGCAATATATGTTTACTGGGTAGGTATGGGTGTATTCTATATGGGCATGTATGCGTGTGAATGGCAATGTCTTTGTCCATGAATGGTGTGTACGTACGCATGGTGTATATGCATATCTATAAGTCTGCATGCCTCTATATGTATGGGTTACATGCGAACTGCGTGTACACACACGGGTATATTTCTTAACGTTTGTTTAACCAAGAGTCTCATTACTCCTTTGCAGGAGGGTCCTGCCAAGTGTTTGCAGTAGGGGCGATAAGTGCACGTGTATTACAAAAGGGTAATTTAATCATTGATTGGCGTATCTGCTTTGTAGTAAATGTGTGTGTGTGCAGACACACAGCAGATGGACACGTGCAGTATGCGTTTATATGTACCGTATCTAATTGAATTAAGCGTACGGTATATGCACATGTGTCTATGCTTATGTCTATGTATACGTATATGGCATGGCGACCACCAGTGATGACTATCTGAACCGGCCCTGGGCCTCCCGTAGGTCGACTCAGCCTTCAATGAGTACCTGGTGCGGTGTGCAAACATCGCCACTGGGGAGACAAAGGCGGCCGGGCGTGGTGCTGGCCGCCCACCCCCTCGTGTGTCGTTCCGGCCTTCATAGGTGCTCGCTAACAACACTTGGCCCAACAGGCTGTTGAGGCTATACGGGGAATCTTTGTCTTCTTTGTATTTGTACATCCACGACAATGTATCCATAAGGGTTGCTCAACGATAACCGGTTTTCAGCATCGATTTTCGATTCCAAAAGAGTCGCCCCATGGTAATCGATCCAAGTGAAATCTTTGTAATGAATGCCCCCTGATGCTCTACGGGTAAACACAGTAGAAAGGTAAAGGTGCAGCGCTGAGATTTCTTGCTCACGCCACTGCTGGCGGAAGGGCCGCCACCAGAGGGAGCTCCAGAGGGCAATTGGCCCACTCTTCCACACTGACCAGAGGCGTTGGAAGAGGACGACGCACTAACACTTGAACGCCACCACACGCGAACTGCTGATTGGCTAACCGCATGATAGACCCACGTACTGTAACTCAATGCTTCAGCTGCCACGCCGGGAGATGGCATTGAACCGGTACTGCTCTGGACGACGGCAAGTCCATTGTGCGCTAACTAATCATTCCACCAAAGCAGCAAACCATTCGGTCCTCGCTTAAATAGACGCGCGCGTTATGTTTACGATGATTCACTGTATATGTTGAGGGTTAGGCCCCGTAATGATCTGGCTAAATGTGTGTCGTAAGACCCTCCCACCACCCGACATAGCTAACAAAATTAAGATTAAAACGTCACGTGTTGGAGCGTCTTAAGCCACCGGTGAGTCGAGGAACATTTCTCACAACCAGATTTAGCAGCAATTAGTTACGATTTGCGTTCGAAATTACATCAATCATTTTGAGGACAAAATCCAGGAAGTCAGCGTCAAATGTGTAAAAAGACAAACATTCACTCGCCAAATTTAACAAACGCTGCGAGACCCAAGAGCTCAAGGGCCCCCAGATTCATGAAAAAATAGAGCCACTTTCTTCATCCCAAATGGAAACCCTGATTAAGCAAAACAAGATCATTAACAACAAAAGCCCCCATAGATAACTCTTGTTATCTCCTGTCATATACAGGGGCACCAATATTGCAGGTTTACTCCTCTTATCCAGGGGGATAATAGAATGAATTTGCCACGTGACTCCTCTTTTCCACGGAAAAATTGTGAATAATAGGAAGTCATTCGTTACGCATTATGGGTACAATTGCAGATGGTAATAATAATCCTAAATAGGGCCGCAGAAAATAGGAGTTTTCGCGGACCCTACAGCTGCCGTGGATGATAGCGGTCGTGGGTTTTATGGCCGTGGATAATAGGCGACCTGGATAGCTAACTTGTCTATATCCCTTCTGGTATCCTACTGGGATGTTATAAATGGAAAGGAAGGGGTCCTCCATAATAATTCCTGCCTCAGGGCCCCCAATGGGCAAGCACCACCACAGGCTGTTTCACTGTGTGGTGGTGGTTGTTGTTGTTACTGTTCTCGCTGTCATAATTCCACAGACGAAGTGGGAGCGCTTGTGTTTGACATCGGATCGTACACGGTGCGTGCTGGATATGCCGGGGAGGATTGTCCCAAGGTATAAAAATCTTCAACTTTTCCATCACGCGCCCATTTCAAATCACGCTACGTTTTTCATCATTTCCATCTCGGCTTCTGAATATGCTACTGCAAGTGACTGGCCTCAAAATTATCAACACTGTTGCTTGGGGCGGACAAATGTTCAATCACACGCCGCATGTCCATGACGATCACATACGCATGCACCGTCACCCGACAATCACGCTCTCATGCGGACACTTAAATCTCACACGCACAAGAGGTGACCGGGTGGCTCGGAGGCCATAGCGCTGTGCTGCCACTGTTGAGGTGCTCGGTTCAAATCCAGGCAGCTGACTGTGATTAAGCTGGGTCTTCGTGTCTTGTGAGTAAATTATCTCAGCCCGGTCACCAATGACCGCACAAAAACACCAGCACAGTACATTTTGGTGCTGCACTAAATTTGGCTAAATGTCAGCTCTGAGAATTAAAAAATCACTTTGACTTTAATGCGACGAACCTCCCTCTCAAATGTAGAGTGAGTTGAAAGTGCTGCCTTCTACTGTGTGTGTGGACGAGAGGTCACTTGAAGCGATCTCAGAGGTAGCTCTATGATTTCTTCTTCCACAGGCCATTCTCTACCACAGAGGATTGCATTGCTCTGTCAGCACAAATGATAACACCATCACCATTATCACTGCCATCAACAGCGTAACTGCTCCAAGTGGTGTACTCATCACGGTGAACAACACGTAAACATGAACCATTATCATCACTCCAGAATCACACACAACTCTGATCATTACTCGCTCCCTCCCACCACCATCACCCAGCAATCACACGCCCATGGAGATACTTACACAACAACTTTCATCGCCGTCAAATAAAATAAAGACAAAGACCCCCCCCCCCCCACCCTGTACAGCCTTTAACAGACTTTTGGGGCAAGTGCTGTTCGCAAGGACCTACGGCACGGCACACGAGGTGGTGGGTGGCCACCTCCGCCTTTGTCTCCCGAGTGGCGATGTTGACTATTGATGCCCCCAGGGTCTGGAATGCTATTGCCAATAAACTGCAACTTGAATCACTACCTATGAGATCTTCACTCAAAACTGCTCTAGAGGAGTTGTACACCCCTAGCTGCCACTGCTATTCAGTGGCCTAAAATATGGCTCTAGATTTTGGTGTTATAATTTATTTATGTAGTTTATTGTTAAAAATTCGGTCACAATCCCTATGATCACTGTTACATTGCATTTATGGCTTTTATTTTGGTGATTTCGAAAACGTGTTTTTTGGTTTTGGCCATGTTTTTGTTTATTGTAGTACGGAGTTAGACTGATGGCCTTAATCTTAGTTGTCTTGTGGTTGTTGTTGTTATTTGACTTGCATCCCACTGGGATTTTTGCACACAGCGTTGGTGTACGGTGCTATTTCAGGAATATTTAGATGTTTTTTTTCTGGATTTTCTGTTTGCACACTTACACAGTCACTCTAAGATGTTTTCTTGTTCATGTTTTTTTTTTTGTTGCGGTTGCACCCGATTCAAGAGCCGAACGGCTCACGGGGCTATACCAAATACATGAACTATGAACTATGGAACTATTGACTGCACACCGGCACCGCCACCACCGCCGACGCGTCCTTGCTCGGCCTGCTCGCGTGTCTGCCTCTCCCCGTCGTCTCGCGCAGGCCGACTTCCCGACGGCGCTGGGCGTGGCGCTCGCCGAGCGCGAGGCAGACGGTGCCGCGGGACCGACCGACGGCGACGCCGCAACGCGCAAGGAGCGCGCCGCCGCCGCCGCGCGCACCTACTCCATCGACACCAACGCCCTGCACGTGCCGCGGGAGGGCGTCGAGATCTGCTCTCCGCTCAAGAACGGCATGAGTGCGCGGCAGGGACGGGCGCTCCGGGATCGGAGGAGGAGGGGGGGGGGGCGGGGGGCGGCGGCCCGCGTGCCGGGAGCTGAGATTAGAGCGTCGAGATCTAAGATGAGGGTGCTGAGATCTGGAATTAGAGCATCGAGATCTGAGATGAGCGTGCCGAGATCTGAGATTAGAGCATCGAGGTCTGAGAGGAGGGTGCCGAGATCTGAGATTAGAGCGTCGAGATCTGAGAGGAGGGTGCCGAGATCTGAGATTAGAGCGTCGAGATCTGAGATTACAGCGTAGAGATCTTCATTGAGCGTGCCGAGATCTGAGAGAACATCGAGATCTGAGATTAAAGCATCGAGATCTGAGATTGGTTTGTCGATATCCGAGATTAGAGCATCGAGATCTGAGATTAGAGCGGCGAGATCTGAGATTAGAACGTAGAGATCTGAGATGAGGGTGCCGAGATCTGAGTGCACCGAAATGTTAGTTTAAAGTCGTGCTCTCTAATCCGCGTGTTCATCTTTCTTTCCCATTACAATTCCAAGCGCGCTCCCCTCCGCGATTCTCTCGCGCACTTTTCATCTTTCGTTCTGACTACCTTAACATCAACGGCCGTCGATGTCCGCGCGCGTCTGCCCCTCCCTTTGCAAAACAGTCGAGGACTGGGACAGCTTTCAGGCCATCCTCGACCACACTTACCGACGGCACATCAAGTCGGAGACGCCGCTGCATCCCGTGCTCATGTCCGAGGCTCCCGTGAGTTCCCCTCCCTCCCTCGACCGTCACGCACGTGGGCGACGCCCATAGTTCGCATGTCTCGGCCAGGGTTCAGAAGCCTGCGGCCCGTAGGCACAAAACGTGACCCGCTACTCAAACTTATTCCGACCCGCAGCAACATGAGGTCAAACCATTTCGAAAAAGCCCGCAAATTATATTTATCCGTCGATGCAAGCATGTCAGCTGCACTAATTGGATTCTAGAGGGAGGGATGCTATTTAGTGTTTTTTCAGAAGTGACCTGGCCACAAATGATAGCTCAACGAAGTGGCTTATACTGTGTAGATGTAGAGCAGCCAAAGCATGCTTCTAAATGTGGTGGAGAAAACCGGGGGACCCTAGAATAATCGATGGGACCACGGGGAGAGAGACATGCAAACTCCAAATATACAGCAGGCGTCAGGCTCGGGATCGAACCGACGACTTCCTGTATACCAACCTAGGTAGTTAACATCTGTCCACCATGGCGCCCCTTGGTCTGCTAAGGCTATTTTTTTTTATTTTAGCACTCAAGGGCCTATTGCCGGTACAGCATATTTGGTTTGTGAACCCATCTGTGCAGACCTTTCAGTGTTTTCCCTTTTGTTGTGGTTTTTTATTGGGTTACTCCAGCTGTCTTCCACACGAAAACCACTCCGAAAGATAAAATTAACCAAACATCCCAGTGCAGGTAACTCCTAAAATGTGGCTTAATATGGCGTTCCTGGCTCACAGGTGACGAAATGACATTTATCCCTCTATTTAAGACTGAAAGAGGATAATTTCTCCATATTTCTGGCTGTCACATGATGATGCTAGTTGTAATTACTGACGAAACATCGTAGTGGAATTGTAAATGTTTTGGGTTTACTCTCAAACACACCGGTGTGCTGCTGTAACGAATTGGCACGTTTTGTTTACGTGACAAACCTTACTAATTGGCAGTTGGGTGGTGGCGGGTGTAACGACACATTTATATTTATGCGATCGAACCCAAAAACCCTCTTATGGATAATATTGGTCGTCAAAGCCTGCATGTTAAACTGAATAATGTGTAGTTATGTATTTTATCCACCGTTTCGAGATTGAGAGGTTATGGAGTGAGTCTACCTCTGACCGGGAGTAACTATGACCAGGGGCGGAGCCACAGGGGGGGGGCTTGGGGGGGCTTAGCCTCCCTGAAATTTTGGGAAAGTCGGTAATCGAGATAACCGGATATCCAGCTGCTGCAAAATGCTGGCTGCCACCTTGTGTGCTGCTACCTTGTGCTGCCCTGCAGGCTTCCACCTTGTGCTGCCCTGCAGGCTGCCACCTTGTGCTGCCCTGCAGGCTGCCACCTTGTGCTGCCCTGCAGGCTGCCACCTCGTGCTGCCCTGCAGGTTGCCACCTCGTGCTGCCCTGCAGGCTGCCCCCTTGTGCTGCCCTGCAGGCTGCCACCTTGTGCTGCCCTGCAGGCTGCCACCTCGTGCTGCCCTGCAGGCTGCCACCTCGTGCTGCCCTGCAGGCTGCCACCTCGTGCTGCCCTGCAGGCTGCCACCTTGTGTGCTGCCCTGCAGGCTGCCACCTTGTGCTGCCCTGCAGGCTGCCACCTTGTGCTGCCCTGCAGGCTGCTTGAGCGGCAGCCTTCCGAACTTATCGAACTTATTAGCCACATCAGCGGCTCCGACCTATTAATAAACTCCGCGTTCAAATCCAATAATATTTGTTTTATACATTTGTGGCGCCCATTGGAAATCATACACTGGATATCTCAGAATATTGAAGTCAGCCCCCCCAAAGTCAAAATCCTGGCTCTGCCCTTGCCTATGACGAAATTGTCCACCTGTCCATTCATATTTCTGTCCCTCCAACCGTCCGTCCGTCCGTCTGTGCGTCTATCCTTCTGTCTGGTCATCCATCCCTTCGTATATTATAATAATAATAATAAAGTGTTATTACATTTGGTGTTCGCGAAATTCTTGTAACATTTCACAGACGTAGTCTGAACGAGTTTCGCATTGTGTTCCCAATCCAGTTACTTGTGGGTCATTTTTTTTCTTGCCAAAATTGGGCTGTGACGTCGGTGCCCAGTGGCTCACTCGTTTAGAATGACGTCGGGGGGGGGGAGGTGGGAATCTTTAACGTCCAATGCGTAGTAGATGGAGCTCTATCTACGGTTAATGCACCGGCGGTTATACCCAGGGAGGCTTGTCGGATTCGAATCTTGAACCTCTGCAAAAAGCGGTTAACGCGCCACTGCCGGGCCGTGCCACCGCACGGTCCGTGCACATATCCGTCCGTCCGGCCGTCCACCCCCGTCACATCTCACGGGCCTTGCGTTTGTGCCGCACGCAGTGGAACGCGCGGGGAAAGAGGGAGAAGCTCACGGAGATCATGTTTGAGCACTACAACATCCCCGCCTTCTTCCTGTGCAAGACGGCCGTACTCTCCGCGTATCCCCCCCCCCCCGCCACGCGCCCCCTCCACGGGGAACAGCTGGAAACCTGGCCACAGCCAAGCAGTAGCCGGGCTGATACATTTACCTCTTTTTCACTGGTTAGGTCTGTGGTTATAGCTACAGATTGGAGCCCGGAGGCCCACCACCCAGCAGTCGTTTGACAAATGGGCGGTGTGCGTGAAGATTATTGGCGCTCGACGAGCTCTTGCCTGCTGAATAAAAGGGCATTGTTGCAAATGGGCAGATGGGGCTTCATTTATGTATATGACAATGACGATGATGATAATGATGACAATGATGATGATGATGATTATGATGATGACAATGATGAACATGATGACGACATTGCTCAAACTAATGATGATGACGAAGACCATGATCATAATAATGACGATGATGACGACTACAATGATGATGACGATGATCGTGATGATGATGATGATGACCACGGTGACGATGATGGGATAGAAGAAGCAGCCCTGCTTGTGTCTCCTTGACGACGGCGTAGCTTCGCGAACGGGCGCTCCACGGGTTTGGTCCTAGACAGCGGAGCGACGCACACCACGGCCATCCCCGTGCACGACGGATACGTCCTGCAGCAGGGTGAGGGCACACGCGCCACTCGTGCCAGGATAGGTGCACACAATTTACGGTTAATCTCAGTGGGCTCTCGTCTGGTTATTAATACGTTTTACGAATGAATGAACGAGTTAACAAAGCCGTTCGTTTTAATTGGCCTCTCCCCTCGTAAATAAAATGCACAGATTAATAGACGAATGACCCAATGAAGGTGCCGGTCAGTCTCAATTGGCTCTCACCTGTTATACATAAATCACATGTTAAAATGAATGAGTTTATGCAATCGTTATTGTCAATGGGCTCTCACCTGGGCAAAATTAAGTACAACACGAACGAATGAATGAATGAGTGAGTTCATGAAAGAGACGTTAAGTCTCATCGGGGCTCTCGCCCGGTCAAGAAATTATAACCTGCGTAAGCGAACGAATTCATGAATCAATGGACTCTCTCGGTTAGTGGGTGATGAGGCAGTGTCCGTCTTTCTGACTCCTGTGTCCGTCCGTCCACTTGGCGCAGGCATCGTGAAGTCGCCGCTCGCCGGGGATTTCATCACCATGCAGTGCCGCGAGCTCTTCCAGGAGACTGCCATCGAGATCACGCCGCCCTACCAGATTGCCGCCAAGGTAAACTAAACTATTAAACTCGTTTTATTTTGGCAGGTAAGGCCCACTGAGCCCGCTTCACCCTTCGTCAGGGCGCCGCTGTGCCAAGATGTTAACTAACTCGCCTGGTATGCAGGAGGTCGTGGGTTCGATCCTGACCCTGACGCCTGCTGCTGTATATTTGGAGTTTGCGTGTCTCTCTCTTTCCCTGTGGTCGCGTGGATTTTTATCCGGGTTTTCACTCCACTTTTTAAAACATGCGTTTAGAGCATTTTTGCTGCTCTGAATTTCAACATGATAAGCCACTTCGTTGGGCCATCATTTGTGGCCAGGTCACTTCTGAAAAAGAGCTACAGTGTATAGCTCAGTGGGCCTTACCTGGTAAACTAAAAAAAAAAAATTCCCATAGTTTTTCGTGGCAGCGTTACAATGACCCCCTGGGTGTCACCTGCAGGAGCCGGTACGGGAGGGGGCGCCCCCCAACTGGAGGAAGAAGGAGAAGCTGCCGACCGTGAGCAAGTCCTGGCACACGTACATGTGCAACGTGAGTGCCCGGCACCGCACCCTACGAGAACCGTACCGCGCAGCACACGCAGTGCACACCGCACAGCACGCGTCGTGCAGTACGCACAGTGAAGCACGCGCCACACAGTACACACCGCACAGCATGTACTACACAGCACAAAGTATACACAGTACACACCACACAGCATGCACCCCACATTACAACATCAACCGCCATTCACCACTAAGTGGTGGTGATCACCACGACGCTTGTGCCAGGCTATGTGCATGTTAAGGCCACGTGAAGTGTCGAATGCCCGCTGGCAGGAGGTCACAGGACAGACCAAGGTGCCCATACACCACTTGTGCCCCCTACTGTGCCAACTTGCTGTGTTTTAGCCACCCGGCACTCCGCTCGTTGTTGTGAGCGTCGCTCCTCTGCCCTCCATTGTTGCTGGAAGGCGACTGTCTCCAACTGCCCAGTAGCGTCCTTCATGAGCCTCCTCCACAGAGGCCGATCTTGACACCGCTGGTACCAGTCATCGGCATTCCACTCAGCTTCACATCCTCTTGTACCACATCACTCCATCGTCTCTCTAGCCTGTGCCGTGCCCGGCCGAACAAAAGCTGTTTCGGCATGCGGTGGCTGGGCATGCGGGCTACATGATCCAGCCAACGCAACTTTGCCTGCCGGAAGAGCTCACCGATGGGACCTTGCCCAGATCTTTCAAGGATTTGTGAGCTCCTCACACAATCCAGCCTGGTTGAACCCAGGATGAATCGTACATAGGCCAGCCTAAATATTTCTACCCGACGAAGATGTTCTATTAGGGGGGGGTCCACGTTTCGCAAGCATAAAGAAGGGAGGGCATGACCGTGGCCGAGAAGGCCCGAAGCTTTGTGTGGAGTGACAGACCAGGTAATTTTGACACAGTGTTACGCAGCCGATGAAAAGATAATGCCGCTCGACTGATTCGGAGTGAGACCTCTGCTGTGAAACCGGAGCAAGTCATGAGCAGACTGCTCAGGTACGGAAAACTCTCCACTCTATCCACAACTGCCCCATCACCAATTGGGAGTTGTGGGTGTGGAGTGTCTGATTGCACAAAATACCCAGGCAGGTGCTTAGTTTTATTTGGGGCCCACCTCTTAGTGGCACGCTCCAGCTTCAGCAGCAACGCCTCCAACTCCTCCTTTGAGTGAGCAGCAATCACGAGATCATCGGCATACATAAAATGGTTGACCAATAGGGAACCATTCACACCCGGGCATCGATTAGCCTCCCATGTTGTCTTTACCAGAAGAAAATTCCTCTGGTACAGCCATCGATGGCTTCACAAACTACGTGGTCGAAATAAATATTAAATAATGTGGGAGCCAGGGGACATCCCTGTCGCACCCCAAGGTGAATAGGGAATGACTCTGACTCCCGGCCACGTAGTTTTACCTGGGCCTGCTCACCATCATGAAGGCCCTTAATGATTGTGAGCAGAGAGTCATGGACTCCGAAAGCACGAAGAACAACCCAGAGCCCAGGCCTACTGATGGTATCGTAGGCCTTTACCAGGTCAATAAAGCAGAGATGGCTGAAACCACATTGGAATGTGGTTTCACACAGTACACACCGCACAGCACACACCATAGAGTACACAGTGCACAGTACACACTGTTCAGTACACACAAATCGCACAGAGCACACACAGCACACACACACACCATAGGGCACGCAACGCACAGAACGCACCACACATCACACAGTGCACGTGATTCACAGGCCCATTCCTCCACATTGCTTGATTACAGGATGCGTTCGATTGCACGAGAGCGACCCTGTGTGTCGTCACGTGGTTCAATGAGACTCTGTGTCGTCACGTGGCTCAAGAGACCCTGTGTGTCGTCACGTGGCTCAATGAGACCCTGTGTGTCGTCACGTGGTTCAATGAGACCCTGTGTGTCATCACGTGGCTCATTGAGACCCTGTGTGTCGTCACGTGGCTGAATGAGACCCTGTGTGTCGTCACTTGGCTGAATGAGACCCCGTGTGTCGTCACGTGGCTCAAAGAGACCCTGTGTGTCGTCACGTGGCTCAATGAGACCCTGTGTGTCGTCACGTGGCTCAATGAGACCCTGCGTGTCGTCACGTGGCTCAATGAGACTCTATGTGTCGTCACGTGGCTCAATGAGACCCTGTGTGTCGTCACGTGGCTCATTGAGACCCTGTGTGTCGTCACGTGGCTCAATGAGACTCTGTGTATCGTCACGTGGCTCAATGAGACCCTGTGTGTCGTCACGTGGCTCAATGAGACTCTATGTATCGTCACGTGGCTCAATGAGACCCTGTGTGTCGTCACGTGGCTCAATGAGACCCTGTGTGTCGTCACGTGGCTCATTGAGACTCTGTGTGTCGTCACGTGGCTCAATGAGACCCTGTGTGTCGTCACATGACTCATTGAGACCCTGTGTGTTGTCACGTGGCTCAATGAGACCCTGTGTGTCGTCACGTGGCTCAAAGAGACCCTGTGTGTCGTCACGTGGCTCAATGAGACCCTGTGTGTCGTCACGTGGCTCAATGAGACACTGTGTGTCGTCACGTGGCTCAATGAGACCCTGTGTGTCGTCACGTGGCTCAATGAGACCCTGTGTGTCGTCACGTGGCTCAATGAGACCCTGTGTGTCGTCACGTGGCTCAATGAGACTCTGTGTGTCGTCACGTGGCTCAATGAGACTCTGTGTATCGTCACGTGGCTCAATGAGACCCTGTGTGTCGTCACGTGGCTCAATAAGACCCTGTGTGTCGTCACGTGGCTCAATGTCGTGTCGCCGTTTTCGTCCCGCGCAGGAGGTGATCCAGGACTTCCAAGCGACGGTGCTCCAGGTTTCCGATTCTCCCTACGACGAGCAGTGAGAACGTTTCCCGGTCGATATTTTCAAGTGACAGGTTCCCCTTGCTCTCTCCGGGTTCGCCTTGTGCGACTTGGCGTATGCGCGGAAAACCTATTTATACCCAACATTCACCATATTATGCAGTTTGAATTCACTTGGAAGCGGCTAAGCGAGGGAAACCTGTATTCTTCTGCGTATGGCTGATGTTGATGTTGAGCAACAACTATAATCTTACGTGGAGGTGGAGGGCGCCACGATGGCAAGATGTTAACTACTTCGCCTGGTATACAGGGGGTCGTGGATTTCATACTGACCGTGACACCTGTATATTTGTAGTTTGCATGTTCTCGCCGTGCTCGCGTGGTTTTTTCTCCGCGTCCTCCGGTTTTTCCCTCCATATTTAGAATCAACACACGTTTAGAGTGTTTGGCTGCTATACATTTCCACGTGATAAGTCACTTCGTTGAGCTATCATGTGTGGCCAGGTCGCCTCTGAAAAAAGAGCCACATAGCTCAGTGGGCCTTAGCGGGTAAAATAAAAGAAATGTTTATCGTTTTAGTTCAGTTTGACGAGCCAGATAATCGCATCAGGAGCAGCTGAGTGGTGTGGCGATGCCTCCTCCTTCGTATTTGTGAATCGGCCCATTGAGTCGTTCTATGTTGCCATGGCTTCCAGGTGGCCACAGTTGAGAGTGATTGGCTGATGATGATGATTGATGATGGTGATTATTATTATAACAATGGCGATGATTTTCAAGGGCGAGCGACCATGAACAAATCCGTCTCTCCACCCCAAACCCAACCCTGATCCCACCATCCGGACCTCTGCGTGCCTCTGGCAACGTGAGTCTGCCACCCACGTTCATTATACCCCCCCATGCCCCCCCCCCTCCGTGGCCCCCCTCCTCCTCTCGCCATGCCAGGTCTGCCGCCCAGATGCCGACCGTGCACTATGAGTTCACCAACGGCTACAACTGCGACTTTGGGGCCGAGCGCCTCAAGATTCCCGAGGGCCTCTTTGATCCCTCCAACGTGAAGGTGCGTCACCATTGTCACCGTCATCACGATCGTCATCATCACCATCGTCGTCGTCATCACCATCATCGTCCCCATTATCATCAATATCATCATCATCGCCATCATTGTCGTCATCATCATCATCGCCATCGTCGTCATTGCCATTGTCATCGTCGTCATCATCATCTTCATCGTCAATACAGTGAGCTGCAGAAAGAGAAAAAGACTCAAGACCATATGGAGGAATTTTGAGGCAAACGCCTGGCATTGGGCAAAGGATGAATGGGGTTCAAGTTGAACCTGTTCACAAGTAGAATAAGGTTTTTTTGGAAGGATGTTTTCATCTTTGTCCTCTCTATCGGCCATCCAAACAATTGGATGGATGATGACAATGATGAATATGAAATGATTATTGTGACCGCGATGTGTTCTTACTAACAAAGACAAAGCCTTAACAGACTGTTAGGGCAAGGTTTGTTATCATGCACCTATGAAGGCCAGCACAGTGGGGTTGGCCAGCATCACGCCCGGCCACCTTTGTCTCCCCGATGCTGATGTGTATACACAGCACCAGCTATTGCCCACTGTTACTGGTCGTGAGCAGGAATCTAAATCTGGCCACCTGGCTCATTGTGCAGTGCGCTAACCACTGCGCACCCGCTCGCCATACTAACACACACAAAGGCAAATACAAAGATCCCCGGTATAACCTTATCAGACTGTTGGGGAAAGTGCTGTTAGCGATTACCTATGAAGGCTGGCACGGGACACGATGGGGTGGGTGACCAGAACCACGCCCGGTCACCTTTGTCTCCCAAGTGGCGATGTTTACACACCGCACCAGGTACTCATTTTGAGGCTGAGTCGACCTAGGAGAAGCCCATGACCGGTTCAGATAATCGTCACTGGTGTTGGCCACGAGCAAGAGTCGAACTCGGGTCGCCAGGTTCGTATTGCAGCGCGCTAACCGCTACACTACCACTCCCCACACACACAGACAAGCACAAACGCGCATACACACCAACATTGGGGGGGACCAAATCTTCCAGGGGGTCTGAGGGTCCCCCCCAGAAAAAAAATCTAAATTTGAAAACTAATTTCCTGCCATTTCCTGCCTAAAATATAAAAAAATTCACTAACGCATGGGAGGAACTTTTTATGTATTTTTACAATAATGTCTAATAGTGTTATTGTATTACATTGCTCTGTTTTGTTCTTTTTTTATCTTTTCTTTTTTCGTTACATGCAATGGCAGAGATGAGGGATTAATAAAGTACAACCATAACCACAATCATATCAACAGAAATCTACTTTCTAGCAATATATTGGGGGGGGGACATTTTGAGCACATGCACGTTTGTGTCGTCACAGGGGCTGTCGGGGAACACGATGCTCGGAGTGAGCCACGTGGTCACCACGAGCGTGGGAATGTGCGACATCGACATCCGACCGGTACCCGCTCACGCACGCAAAGCGCGATGATGGCGATAGTAACGTTGAGCTGCGTGCATGCGCGCACGTGTGTGTAGGGTCTCTATGGGGGTGTCATTTGTTTTGGATGATGGCTGAAGAAGTTATGTTGTGGTGATGGTGGTAGTATTGAGCTGTTTTCGTGTGTGTGTGTAGGGCCTCTAAGGGAATGTGATCGTGTCAGGTGATGGCTGACGTAGTGATGTCGGTGATGTGATGGTGATGATGGTAGTGTTTAGCTGTGTGTGTAGGGTCTCTATGGGAGTGTGGTCGTGTCGGATGATGGTAATGTAGTGATGTTGGTGATGGTGATGTGGTGGTGATGGTGGTAGTATTGAGCTCTGTGTGTGTGTGTAGGGCCTCTAAGGGAGTGTGGTCGTGTCAGATGATGGTGACGTAGTGATGTTGGTGATGGTGATGTGGTGGTGATGGTGGTAGTGTTGAGCTGTATGTGTAGGGTCTCTATGGGTGTGTGGTCGTGTCGGATGATGGTGACGTAGTGATGTTGGTGATGGTGATGTGGTGGTGGTGATGGTGGTAGTGTTGAGCTGTGTGTGTGTGTGTAGGGCCTCTAAGGGAGTGTGGTCGTGTCGGATGATGGGGACGTAGTGATGTTGGTGATGGTGGTAGTGTTGAGCTGTGTTCGTGTGTGTGTGTGTGCAGGGTCTCTATGGGAGTGTGATCGTGTCGGGAGGGAACACTCTCCTGCAAGGATTCACCGATCGCCTCAACCGAGACCTCTCACAGAAAACGCCGCCGGTCTGTGCGCCCTCATCCCAGAACATCGTGATCATCGTCAGCATCGTGCGTGTGTGTCTCCATATATGTGTCTATTTTCTCTAAGTGTATAGCTGTGTCTTTCTCTTTGCATCTCTCTGTATCTCTCCATATATCTTAGTATATCCGTGTGTATACTTGTGTATGTGTGTGTATCTGTGTGTATATAAGCGTGTGTATCTCGCTCTGTCCCTACCTGCGTGTGCATCTTTGTACGTGTGTATCATCGGTGCTCGCTAACAGCACTTGCCCCAAAAGTATGTTAAGGCTATACGGGGGTGGGGGGGATCTTTGTCTTTTGTAACGATGAGCAGAGCATGAGACTCAAGCTCATTGCCAGCCCCAGCACGGTGGAGCGGCGTTTCAGCTCCTGGGTCGGAGGCTCCATCCTCGCCTCGCTGGTATGTGGCAGCGCCCCCCCCCCCGCACCCCCCCCTCGAGTCTCCCTTGCAAAATAATTTATTGGGAATCCCATGTTCTCCCAGTGGGATAGGCGTGGAACAAAGCATGTAGTGATTCATTCATCGATTTGGTCATCACTTAATACAGGCGAGGAGAGCCCACCGTGAATTATTTCTCTTTGCCACTGCACAACTGGGCCACGCCGACGCTGTTTCGGAGCCAGCCCGGCGGGGTTCAGCAAGCACGAGGTTGTTTTGTCCACTGCTGAAGCCGAGCCGTGCCACTCCATTCACTTACACATGCACTCACTCGCTGTAGAACAGGGGAAGGACGTACCAACTCCTGACGGAAAGGGGTGCAACTCCAGAACCGAGGCACCCAGTGTAACCACTGCGCCACCCTGACGCCCGGTGTCATAATAATGAACTTTTATTTAATCTTGATTTGAAGCTTTCGTGACTGCAGGAATCCATACTCTCTGGTTCTTTCGGTAAAGTCACGTAGGTAGAAATATATAAAAGAACACACGACGTTTCGGTCGCAACACAAGCGTCCATCCTCCCAGTGGGATAGGTGACGGACGTTTGTGTTGCGACCGAAACGTCGTGTTCTTTTATTACTTTTTCTATCTACGTGACTTTACCGAAAGACCCAGAGAGTATAAACTTTTATTTTTTTTATTTTACAACGTAAGGCCCGCTGACCAATGTAGCTCTCTTCAGAAGCGACCTGGCTACAAATGGTAGCTCAACGAAGCGGCTTTTCACGTGGAAATTGACAGCAACCAAATACTCTAAACGCATTAATTATAAATGTGGAGGGGGAAACCGGAGGACCCGGAGAAAAATCCACGCGACGACGGGGAGAGAGGCTCACAAACTCCAAATATACAGCAGGCGTCAGGTTTGGGATCGAACCCAACATTCCTGTTTACCAGGCGAGGTAGTTAACTTCTCGCCACTCACTTTGCAGATAAGGGGGGAGAACATACGAACTCCACTCACTCGCACTCACATTCACTCACACTCACTCTCTGCAGAACAGTGAGAGAACACACGAACTCAGAATAGAAAGGTGTCCGAGTCCGGAATCGAGGCACCAGTGTTCCCACTGGGCCGCCCTGCCACCCGATGTGACAACAACAACAACAATCATAACAAAATGACACACTGTCTCGTCTCTCCTAAAGGGCACGTTCCAGCAGATGTGGATTTCCAAGCAGGAGTACGAGGAGGGAGGGAAGCAGTGCGTGGAGAGGAAATGCCCCTGAGCCGCCCGATCATTGCATCGAGCGGCGCCAGGCGACGGCGCGTCCGCGCGTGCGTGCGCACGAGAGCCGCTTCCAACGGGGGCTCCTGCGTCAACTGTTCCGCGCGCGCGCGCGCGTTCTCTCGCGGTATTTGACCGCCGGAGTTGGGACGGACGGACGGACGGGGCGAACGAGTGAGCGAGCGACCGCCGTGCACGGAACGCGCGTGCGGATGGAGTCGACCGTGGCGGAGGGCGATGCGGTGCGGCAAAATCAGAATGCCATTGTTCTTTACTACACTAAACCCCCCGCCGCCAACCCAACTCAGACCCAGCGCTACGGTGGATTTGAATTGCCGACTGCAAAGTTGTTGACGATGCAGCGGGGGGCTCGTGCATTGCCTGGCATTGGCAGTGGTGTTGTGCAAGCACAGGCTGACGATACTTTAGGACCGTTGTGATTAGACGAAGGCTCTGTATTGTGGTGGTGGTGCTGGTTAGGGTTGGTTAGTGGAGTGCCCTAAGTTGAAATTTACCTTTGGCCGGTGTCCGCCCACCCCCTCCCTACCCACCCCTCCCCCGTCTCCAACTTATAAGCTCATAAGTGAGATGACAGAAGAGATATAGAGAGGGATTAGAGATTACTTAGCTATGTAAATGTTAATTAGATGTGTTGAATAGGATTTGAATTTGACATTTGGTTGGACCCCTGTTTTTTTATGAATCCAGCTCCCTTGAGCTGATTAAAACCCGAAGCTCCACGGTATCGGCTCAGGGGACTGATACCATGTCAGAGCACTGCTGGTTGAATCCAGGTTTCACCGGCCCATGATTAAATTGGGCTCCTAAGTGAAGCGTTATTGATGATGGCCTAAGCCTCGTACCTGATCACTGCACGCAAAAAAAACGCCTTCACATTTCATTTGGTATCATCTCCATAGCATGGAGTGTGGGAGAGTTAAGCACTTGAAGGTGGTCTCAGTAGTAGCTCTGTAATGTCGCCTTCCACAGGGCATTCTCTAATAATGCTCTTCAAGATCTCTGAATGGAGAGTTCATCTCCTTCCATGATGCCAATGGCCCAGTACCTGGGAAGAGAACTTGGGGGAAAGACAGAAAAAAGTGTTAAGGCAGTGTTTGTTCATGATGGTGGTTCTAAAGTGTGAATACGTGTGCAGGGTGGAAGTTGTTCAATGGACTTAGCCACAGGATCATCAGTAAGTATTTTTACATTACCGATCTTATTGTCGTAAGTTACAAATGTGTTGTGAGAAAAATCTTAATGTCTGGAAAGAGGATTTCTGCAGTTCAGACTGCACTGAATTCAACCAAACCAGCTCAGAGGTCAAATATCCAGGCCTGTGATCAAACCAGGTTCTCAAATATTGTGTTGATTGCCTAAACCTTGGTCACACAAAAAAAAACCTCGTTCAATTTGCTTCCACACTTGGTTACATTTTATTTCTGAACGTTTACTCTCATAATGGGTTGTAAGGTGCTGCCCACTAATTTGTGTTCGAGAGGTCACTTGAAGGGATCCCAGTAGTTTTGTGATGTTCGCTTTCATCGGCCATTCTCTACCACAGAGGGTCCCCACTGCTCCGTGAGAGGTCTCAATCGACACCGTTTCACGGCGGAACGCCGGTAATCAAATTCGGGATAACATTTAGGGCAGAGCTTTTGTTTTTCGACCAAATCGCCCTAAATGCGCTCGAATCGTTTCAGAATTGAGAAGCGCATAAGGGTTGGTGCCCGGTTAGCGCTTGGATGGGTAGCTGCCAAGGCTTTGCCAGGTGTTGTAGGAGTGTGGCTGGCTTACTAGGGGTGCTCCAATTTCCTCCCACACGAAGCCCAACTCTCAGTGATGGGAAAAGCCAAACATCCCTAATGTGGCAGGACCCTCCTGAAAATGCCTTGATGATCACTTAAGCCTTCTCAGGCATCACCATAGTATTTAAAAAGACATAACAAGGGACTAATTTCAGACATTATAAGAAACGGGCAAGGGCTCTCCAGAGAAGTAAAAATTGCTTCAAAGGCATGGTGGTTTAAAAGGCACGTTGGTTTAAAGTGATATTGTATACAAACTCGTTGTGTTGCCATGGCGCATTACGGGTAAAACCAGTATTAGCAGAACTCCATTCTTTACAGTATTGCTTTTTGTTGGACACGGTCCCCCTAGTTTATATGGAGTGCTCCTGCCAATGACATTTGGTAATTCAGCAGCATTTGTTTAACCCTGAACTGCTGACGAGACTGAAGGTTAAAGACCAGTTATGAATTTGCTTTCTGAAAAAGATCTATTCGATATTGGTCTGGAAAAGCAAAAGGCTGACCGACAAGTATTGTGGGTACACAGAACGCGAGTTCAGTTTTGTGCTGGAGTTAAGGTGGAAGCAAGCAAGCGCCTTCCCTCTTGAGGACACAATTCACGTTACTTCCTGGCCAAACAGACAGGCCAATGGCATTACTCAAAGAGTTTTACAGACTCGCACATGCAGCGTGCGTCGTGTGGCAGCAGCAGCAGCAGCAGGGGCAGCGACGGTGGCTCGGTGGAGATAAATGTTGACCGTTTTGTAAAGTTATTTCGTTACGTAAAAATGATGGTGCTTAATTGTCGTCGAGAAGCTTACCTTGATGTGATCAAAGTTAACCGAAAGCGGACGCCACACGTTTTACGTGGCAGTGCATGTTCCAGTCGTGTACTCTTGGCGAGCGTGGTTGGTTGCGTGTCAGTGAAGTGATTAAACAGACTCCAAACAGAACATTTCAAACGTCGCCCCATTTTATTCCTCAACAAACACGATCACCGAGGTGACGACACGAGGCGCTTCAGAGAGTCGACAAGAAAATTAAACACCCCCCCCCCTCCCGTTCCACTACGACCGGCGTTTCACAGACGCAAGGGAATTGGGCTGCCGGCATCTCTTTTGTGGGAATTCACACGGACGGTGACCAAGAGGTGGATGGTTGTTCAGTGGCTCCAGGTCAAATCCATGCCGCTAAGGAATCCATGAAAACATGTCCAGCGACACAGCCCAGCAGTACCCACTGGTGAATACAACATTCCCCCACCCCCATACTTTTCTACGGCCCTTATAGCAAAAAAAAAGAGCCACTGCCTAAAATATCACCTTTCATATATTATTTATCTATAGGGCAGGTTTATCTGACGGCAACCAAGGGTAAGACTTAAAGAGGAGATGGTGGGAGACTGTTAGGGCAGATCTTGGATGGTCGTGTGCCTACTGCACATTGGCGAGGTGCGCTGACGTCATGGCTTTGGTCATGGCGACATCTATTGCCGAACGTTTTGAGTTTTTGTCGCTCGTGCACAACTGCCAAATGCAGCGTCACTCCAAATTAATCGATTGCCTCATGTCAACTGCAATATGAAAACCGGAGGTGAGGCTTACACCACCTCCACCTGAACTGGAGCCACAGGATGCCACCGTGATCGAGAGCACCATAGCCTGTCCTTTCACTTGTTCGGATTCCTCAGTTGCTGGGATTACACGCTGCCGATGATTGTCAGCAGACCCTGCCAAAAGTGCGAACATTTAGGATTCCTGAAAGTTGCATTTTTGACACTACTGCAGTTACATCGCTCGCTGTGACGGACAACGGCTGTTGGGGGAAAAAGCACGTAAACGGAGCTTGCGGCAAAACCGGATGCTTCTGTCAAGCGAAATAAAATGTACAACCACACATGGCGCCACTGCTGCACAAGTGGGGGGGGGGGAGGGGGGGGCTGTGACTCCACGATTGCTGCATGCCCCTGTACTGTTCGCGTTGCGTTGTAACGTGCACCGACGCCTACTCTATTGAGGGCAATATTTGCACGTAAAATGAAGATTAATTCATTTATCGATGCAGGAGGGGGCACCGTGTGGGGCTGAGCTGACCTTTAGTAGGGAAAGAGGAACACCTGCTGTTTGGAGGCACTGTAGCTGAAGGAGTAGAACAAGTCATGGATGCGGGTTTTTAATCCTTTGGCTCAGATTAGACATCTATGTTTAAGCAACCGCTCCGCTAGAGTGTCCCTACAACAAGTGGTGCCGTTTGTAAGCTTGATCTACAGTACGCCCAACCTTACATGCACGCTATACCGATCAGCTCGTGAGCGGGCGCTAGGCGGAATGTTAAGTCGCGGGATCCCAAGCGATGGCGACGTCTTGGGGGGAGACCTTCATCCAGCGGCTGATCGATCACGGGCCGAAGGTGATGGGGATTTACCGAGGAGGACCAGGGTCCCGTCACGCGGGCAGCGCGAGGGCGTTGTCGGAAACGGGAAAGCGCCGGCGACGGCCGTCGTTCACTGGCGCCCGCTCTCGGCCACCTCCTTGGCAGCAGCCTCCCGCTCGGCATAGCGCGGGAACCTCTCCAGGAGCCGCTTTTGCAGTCTGGTGTCGCGCAGACGCTTCCTCCTCTTCTCGCGGAGATGCTTCTCGATTCGCAACCTACGACGGGCGAGCACAGGCCCGTGTGGTTAATCGTATTCCCACTGTCCACAATTCAATTTTTTTTTTAGTGACGCTGCGTTGGCGGTGATGAACAAGCACATTATGATAATCATGGCTCTACATGTGATGTTATCTGATTAATAAATAATCGATTCATTTTCATAAACGCAATTGAAGATGAGTGCCCCCTATGAACCTGGCGAGCCTCGCCTGGTTTCCCTGCATTGAGTCCCTACGCCTCCACGTTTACAGGGTTCTAGGTGGGACAAGAGGTAGCCTAAAGACACTCCTCGTCAGCCATGGCATGTGACGTCATCACGATGGGCAAAAATGGGCCAATGGATTTAATGGGGACGTTTCTTTTTTTTTTAACAAGAGCATATGACGTTACAATGAACTGTAAATGTAAAAAATACAAAATCCTTCATAATCACCTGATGTAGGGCTTGACGAAGCAAGGCGTGTAGAATCTTCTCCTCTTGTAGCGACGATTCATGAACCAGGGAATCGGGTGCTCTTTGAAATTGTACCTGCAACGACACGCGGCCACGTCAAGTCGAGCCACACCCCCCAAAGCGATACCATAACACACCACGACCAAAAACACACCCACACACCGCCACAAACACTCGGGGCACATGCCAGCGGTGAAGTGCTGTAAAAAAAAAACAAAGATTGCTCGTACAGCCTTGAACATGTCGGGCAAAGTGTCGTTAGCAAGCACCTACGAAGGCTGCCACGGCACACAAGGGGGCAGGTGGCCAACCCCACACCTGAACGCCTTTGACTTTATTAGTTACACCAGGTACTCATTTAAGGCTGAGTCGACCTAGGGGAGACCCAGGAACAGTTAAAATATTCGCCGCCGTTATGGGTTGCGAGCGGGAATCGAAATAAGGTCGCCGGGGCCATAGCATAGCGTGCTAACCACTCTACTAGCACTCTCCACACGACCGCAGCACTGCAACACAGACACGCGCACGTTATGCGCACACGTAGGCACGAACCACGTGGTGAAGCCGAAGACGTTTTTGCGCCACTCGCCCGGCCGTGGTAACTCCTGCCCCGTCTGCAGTAGCCGTAGCGCCTTTTCTCTCTCCCGCACAACCCCGTCCACGCGGTCCATCGAGTGCTTGACCTACAGGCACAGCGGAGAGGTGGGTGGGGGAGGCCGTAAGGTCAGCACCAACCACGCAATGGAGAGGAAGGCTTCACCTGACTGTCGGTAAGTAACGATGCATCGATTCGTCGATTAAAATAGTTTCTACTGTTAGGACCAGAAGTCGCCGCAAGGGATCTCAAGAGGATGCGTGGCATTGCTCTGTGAGAGATCTAAGTGGATTCTTCATCCCTTGATGTAACGCCGATTGCACGATTGGGATAAATACGGAGTAAATTGATGACAAAATGTATTCCTCTGCTCATGATACATGCATTAAACTGCGTGTGAGAATCGATTATTTTATTCATATAAGTTGTAATATGTTCAAGTGACATGCGCAGACACTGGAGATGGATTAAAATCCTTACGCTCCTAATAAATGTATCCAATAATGCGTGTAAGAATGGTGTAATGTTTAGCACACTGGATTTGCAATCGGTCGCCTGTTCAATTAAATCTACCGGCACGGCAGCTGAAAAAATGTTCTTCAATCACCACCCAGCCCGTGTCCACCCAGCAGTTTCTAAAAGGGTACTCTGCAGTTCGTAGATCGGCAGGTCGGGTGTGGTGAAGTAAAAGTGTGGGTACTCCCACCTCTCCCGAGATGTCTGACCAGCGTCGAATAAAAAGATCAAATATACTCTCGAGTGGCTCGAGAGAGAGCTCCCTTTAGTGGGGGCCATTTCCCCGGCAGTGGCTTAAGCAATTGAAGGACTGCTCCTTCACATTTTATATCATTTTAATAGACGGGCCGATGCATTGTTAAACGCCTACTCGAGTTTCAATGACATTTTGGAGGTGAACGATGCAAACAATTGTCGACCTTTTTAATGCGCTCGGGGCTGGGCATGGGCACGCTTTGCCGCTTGGCCTCCTGCTCCAGTGTCAAGAGCATGTTGTACTCCTTCAGCAGCACGTACCTGGCGGACACAGCCCCCGTTCAATGGCACACGTTAAATAACAACGCCAGAGTCACGAGGTGACCGGGTGGGTCAGAGTTCAGCGCGGCTGAGCCGCTACCGCCGAGCCTACGTTCGAATACAGGCATGCGCGTAAAACCGTGTTCTTGCGTGCAGTGCGTTGATAGTCTCAATCCTGTCAACAATGACTGCACACAAAAACCATTATCACATTAAATTTGGTTCTGCCCTTAATTTTGGCTCAACTCCAGCTCCAAGAATTAAATATCGGCTTACGTGTCACGTGATAAAAAATAACTGTCATGTGTCAGCTTCTCGTACAGTCTCCACCACGTACAGCCGATCCAAGTACATCTGTGCGATTCTAATTTAATGCATTATTCCAATGTTTTTGTCCTTCACGTCATGGGAAAAAAAGGCAGTTACACTTGGAACGATCATGGTAACCAGTGTGCTGCCCTGTGTCGGGACAGCAGAGTGTAGTGCAGCAACGCCCATTGTAGTGCTGTAAAATCAATGCCTCCGGACACATCTGTGCTCAACGCATTCATCAACCCACACAGGGCAGCGTGGTGCAGTGTGGTCTAATAACCCCCACGACCTCCACGGCGTGTGGCGGCCGTCACCCAGGCCCTGAATTGACGAGAGGGTGGTAAGTGTACATTATTTGTGTGCGACCACCAGCCTGCGCTGCGAAACACTTATTTGGAAGGCTGCCCCGCCTACTCCTGCACCTATAAAGGTGGGCAGGGCTCCACATTCTCACTCTGTACAGGTCAGATGAGAGCAAAGGATGTAGTAGTAGTGGTGTGTGTGTGTGCAGAACTTGCCAGAGCTTGTGCAGATCTTCACTGCTCTTCCCTCTGAGGAGGCGAATGCCCCATGATGACCCTGAGATGAATGACATAAAATTCAACTGCTTGACAATGCCTTCACAGAACGCGAGCACCACCACAATCAGTGCGCCCGACCAGGGCTTGATGAGATTTGAACAGGGCCTAAGGGGGATGTGAATAGCTCGTGGTGTGGACAAGCACCACACCTCCAAGAGATATTTAAAAAAAAAACACAAGCTTAAGTTATACACTCCCTAAAGTGGTCACCCGTATAACCTTCACTGCTACTCTCAATGACAGCCTAAAGGAAGACACAAAGACGCTCCCGTGTAGCCTTAACAGACTGTAGGGGCAAGTGCTGTTAGCGAGTAGCACCTATGATGGCTGGTACGGCACACGAGGGGTGGGTGTGCCAGCACCACGCCCGGCCGCCTTTGTCTCCCCAGTGGCGATGTTTACACACAGCACCAGGTTACTCATTCGAGGCCGAGTCGATCTAGGGGAGGCCCAGAACCGGTTCAGATAATCGTCGCCGTTGTTGGCCGTGGGCGGTGAGTCGAACTTGGGTTGCCGGGTTCGTAGCGCAGCGTAGCGCTAACCGCTACGCCACCGCTCCTCCACCGAATGAAAACGCGCGCGTACACACAGACACACACACAACAACAATGACAAAGACGACGCCGACGCAGGGGTTTCCTTGCGATGGAAGACACCGGCTAGGTCACCGTGTGTAGGCCCTGCACGGGACGCTCACCAGACTTCACGGTCTCCTCCCCCCATCGCTTGGGGTCGTCAAAGAACTCCTCGAGCCCCGCGCGGACCCCGCTCGTGTGAAGGGCGCGCGTCCAGGCCGCGCTCGGGACGCCGGCGGTCCCGGAGAGCGGCTCGACCCTGGCGAGGGGTGGCGGGCCGGAGAGAGTCCGCGTCAACCGGGCAGGGCCGTCCAGGCGAACGCGGAGGCTTCGGGCCTCTATAACTCCCCCTCTCTTTTTTTTAATCACCGCCCGCGCGACACGAAACCGCCGGCCGTCCGGCCGACTCGCCGATTCATTGACCGACCTGAAGCAGCCGTGCGACGGGAGGAGGGCCCTGCTGCGAGCGACGGGCGAGGGGGCCGGCCGGTGGGACACGCGGAGGCGGCGGCCCAAGAGGCGCGTGAGCCCCGCAACGTGAGAACACCACGAGGCCGCCATGTTGGGTAAGGTGGTGGTGGTGGGGGGGGAGGAGGTGACCCGGATGATGATTAGTAAAAATCGATATTCGAAATTGATAACGCAGAAATCGATCATTCTACTCAACATTCGAAGTCGATAATTCAGTATCGATATTCGAAATCTAAAGTTCAGCATCGATAGTCGAAAACTATTATTAAGAATCGATATTCGGAATCGATCATTCTGCATCGATATTCTAAAACAATCATTTTGCATCGATACCGTATTTGAAATCGATCATTCACAATCGATATTTGGAATCGCTATGCGGGTCGCTGTGGGTTTGAACGCTGAGAAGTACCGGAATCATAGTTTCATAGTTTTCAAAGTTTCATTTATTTGGTATAGCCCTGTGAGCCATTCGGCTCTTGAATCGGGTGCAACCACAACAAACAAAAAAACTAAAACATGAACAAGAAAACATCTTAAAGTGACTATGTGTGACTGTGCAAACAGAAAATCCAGGAAAAAAACATCAAAATATTCCTGAAATGGCACCGTACACCAACGCTGTGTGCAAAAATCCCAGTGGGATGCAAGTCAAACAACAACAAGAAGAAAATTTAGATTAAGGCCATCAGTCTAACTCCGTACTACAATAAACAAAAACATGGCCAAACCAAAAAACTTTTAGAAATCACCAAAATAAAGCCATAAATGCAATGTAACAGTGATCATAGGAACTGTGACCGAATTTTTAACAATAAACTACATAAATAACATGTAACACCAGACCCTAGAGCCACAGCTGGCTGGATGAGTCACTCCACAACAACAGGGGCATCAGTCGGAGTATCACATTTTTAATGCACCTTTAAGATCAGCACACTAAATCAAAATACAGATAATACTTTGCAGCGGTCATCCGGAGCGAAACATTTTATTTTATTTTAGGCCACTGAATAGCAGTGGCAGCTAGGGGCAACTCCTCTAGAGCAGTTTTGAGTGAAGATCTCATAGGTAGTGATTCAAGTTGCAGTTTATTGGCAATAGCATTCCAGACCCTGGGGGCATCAATAGCAAAGGCCCTTCCTCCGGTTTTTGTACGGCAATAGGGAATGTGAAGCTGGTAGATGAGCGAAGACCTGAGGTCAAATTTGTTCTTTGAAACAGAGAGGAGATCCAGCAGGTAGTCTGCGGATTTTTTTGTAAGTACATCGTGAATAAATAACATCTGGTGTACAAGCCGTCGAACATTAAGAGACGTTAAGTTTGACCCAATGTAGAGATCACAGTGGTGAGTCCTATATGGGCAGTTCAATGCAAATCTTAAGGCCGAGTGATAGATGGAATCAAGCTTCTTCAGTACAGTACTTGGGGCTGATTTATACACGATATCACAGTAATCAAGTAGAGGCAGTATGGTAGCTTTTATCAATTCCAAACGGAACATAGGGGGGAAGCAGTGCTTGTGTCGATACAGAAAACCAATTTTTTTGTCTTTTTACCAATATAATCAATGTGATCTTCAAAATTAAGTTTTGAATCCAGGATGACCCCAAGATACTTATAGAACTTGACTTGCTCTATTTGATCATTATTTAAGGAATGTAATTTGGGAAAAATAACTTCCTGCTTTAGTCCCGGTGAGAAGCATAGCACCTTGGTTTTGGAGGTATTTAGGACTAGTTTAAGAGCAACTAGCTGATGTTGTAGTTTGTTGAAATCACCCTGGAGCTTAGCAAGCACGTCATCCGGAGAGCGGCCAGCAGTAATCAGTATCGTGTCATCTGCAAAAAGATTTACCCTGGAATGATCCAGGTCAGTGCCCAAGTCATTGACATAAAGAGAGAACAAGAGGGGGCCGAGGATGGAACCCTGTGGAACCCCTTTTGTTATCTTAACACTGTTTGACCTCCAACCATCTGTGAATACAGTTTGGGTGCGAGGAAAGAGGTAATTTTTTTAACCATTTTACTGTGTTTTTGGAAAAACCGAAGCAACTTAGTTTACCAAGCAGGGTGTTGTGGTCTACTGTATCAAAAGCTTTGGACAGGTCAAGAAAAAGACAGGCACAGTACTGCTTATTATCAAGGCTACTGTAAATTTGATTCAGAGAGTCTAATGCAGCAGATGTGGTGCTGTATTTTTTTCGGAACCCAGATTGTTTTAGATGTAGTAGATTGTTGGTGGACAGGAAACTGCTAATTTGGTAGTTCAATAATTTTTCAAACATTTTCATCAATGGGGACAAAATTGAGATAGGTCGGTAGTTATTGGGATCATCTTTAGGGCCCCCTTTGTGAAGTGGACGGACATAGGAATGTTTCCATTCTAGAGGAACTGATGCTTCTTTGATGGACAGGTTGAACATATGGGCTATAGGTTTGTATATTAGGTGACCAACAGTTAGTAGAGCAAAGACGGGAAAACTATCTGCTCCGGTAGAGGAGGACCCTTTGAGGTAGGACAGCTGTTTCAGAACATTACTTTCGTGGATTGGCTGGAAACTAAATTCGTTTAATGTTTGGACAGGGGTGTAGGAATTTGCATGAGCAGGGGTGACTCCCAATACATTATCAAAAAGATTACCAGCTTCAGAAAAATGAAGGTTAAAATTGTCAACTGGTGAGTTCAGGCGCCATGCAGAGCAGGAGGAATCCGATAAGCTCTGAAGCTCTTTCTTCTACTCACAGACCTCCAGTATGGGCACGGACGGGGGGTCAGCAAAGTTACAGCAGCAAGCAATACACGGTCGGAGTGCACAATAGAGAACATGGTGAAAGTCACTAACTATGAATAAATAGCAAATTATTGATTTAAGTCCGATTGATCAAGATTAGGCAAGGCTGCAATAGCAACAGTAAAATAATCCCAGACCACACCCAGATAACAACCACCCCATAGTCCCTCAATACAATGGCACATAAACATTGAACTATCGGTACACTAAGTGTGGGTTGCTGTCAGAATCGATTTTTTTATTTACATTGTTTGAAAACATTTTGGCCTATACCAGAGACAAACATGCCCTGGTTATTGGTTCGCCACAACTACTGTGTGTGGTTGTTAATGTAGACTTGATGCCTTGAAAAAAGGGTTTATATTTGCCGTTTTAACATCTTAACACCTCCTGTTTCATTGCCAGAAAGGGTACAAACCTCTTCTGATTTTTCATCCTTTTATACTGGGAAAAACAAGGGTCATCATAGATGTTGCTGCTCACCCCGCGCTATAATTGTCCTGATAGTGGCATTGCCCTTGCACTGTTCGCCTTTTGGCGTTCTCTGGCCTGACACTGGTTGGGACTAGGCCGTAAAGAAGAAAAAAAAGGTCAAGTCTTAACTGACCGTGATGTTTTCATCCTACCTGCCTATGTCAGCTGTTATTTCCGACTCTCTGTATCTCTCTCTTTTGGATTGCACTCTCATGGTGCTAATCTCCCATTAACACTGCTGTTGTGCACATATGCGGGCATGATACTCTTATGCGGGGACGGAAGCTCATTCATGCTAATCTCCCTCCCTAATCTCCCCCATTAACACAACTGACGTGCTTGCGTCCGGGGATCGAATACCTTTCCAGCTCAGACCCAGCTTGCCCAACGCCACGTAAATAACCTCCTTGTTGTTGTAACAGCTCTCTCGCTGGTTCAGCATTTCCACTGCTGGATTATATTTTTTCCGCCTGAGGATGACCGCTTGTGTTGCGATCGAAACGTCGTGATTTATTTTATTTTCTACCCACGTGACTTTACCGAAAGACCCAAAGAGTATGGATTCCTGCAGTCACGAAAGCTTAAAATCAAGATTTAACAACAAGGCTGTCTCTCGTGTAAACCAATCAGTTTCAAAGACAATGCCATATAATTTAGAGCATGTTTGATTGCTTTAACCACAAGCATCGTGTATGGTTAATGCAGACATGATGTCTTGCAAAAGGTTTATATTTGGTATTTGAGAATTTTAACACATTTTATTGCCAGAAAGAGTAAACCCCATTCTTATTTTTCACGAATGCAAGGTTGGAATTTTATTTCAAGCGATGGTCTTTCACGACCGATGTTGTGATTCATAATCGTTTTCTGTTTGGATTCAATCATCGTGTGAGTATACAGTAATGTCAATGTGTATTGTCACGCCCTCCACCACCCGACACACACCCCACAAATCACGTTTGCCATGGTTGATGTTAGTTTTTTTTCAGTTAAAACCGGTCACGTTGCAGAGATTCTCACAGTGTTGTTCGACGTTTCGCTCCAGATTACGACAACCCGGCATCATCGGTTAAATGGGCAAGAGCTGTTAACTCCCTCGCCTGGTATGCAGGAGGTCGTGGGTGGTTAGATCCGGACCCTGACGCCCTGCTGCTGCTGTATATTTGGAGTTTGCGTGTCTCTCTCTCTCCCAGTAGTCGTGTGGATTTTTCTCCGGGTCCTCCGGTTTTTCCCCTCCACATTTAGAATGGACATCACGCGTTTAAGAGCATTCGGCCGCTTTAAATACCCACACGATGGTTAAGCTACTTCGCTGAGCTATCATTCGCGATTGCCAGGTCGCTTCTGAAAAACAAAAGAGCTATACGGCTCAGTGGGATCTTCTTATACCTGGTACAATAAAAAAAATAGTTTATAGTTTAATATGATCAGAAAGAGGTTGTTTGCGGGGGGGCTTGGCACGATAGTCCCATATAAGTGTGTATAAGTGTGACGCACCTATGGGACTTTACCGAAAGAACCAAAGAGCATGGATTCCTGCAGTGACGAAAGCTTCAAATCAAGATTGAACTGATGGCCTTAATCTTAGTTGTCTTGTGGTTGTTGTTGTTTGACTTGCATCCCACTGGGATTTTTGCACACAGCTTTGGTGTACGGTGCTTTTTTCAGGAATATTTTGATGTTTTTTTCCTGGATTTTCTGTTTGCACAGTCACATGGTCACTTTAAGATGTTTTTCTTGTTCGTGATTTTGTGTTTTGTTTGTTGTGGTTGCACCCGATTCAAGAGCCGAATGGCTCACAGAGCTATACCAAAATAAATAAAACTGAAGTGTGACAACATTTGAAACTGATTTAAAGCTTTCGTGACTGCAGTGATTCATATTCTTGGTTCTTTCGGTAAAGTCACGTAGAAGGGAAACAATACAATAATAATATATATAAAACAATAAAATTCTCGCGAAGTTCTTGCCGTTGGGTTTCACACCTGATGATGACTGCTTGTGTTTCAGTCGAAACGTCGTGAGAATTTTATTGTTTTATATATATTTTATTGTTTCATTCTACGTGACTTTACCAAAAGAACCAAAGAAGATGAATCCTTGCAGTAACGAAAGCTTTAAATCAAAAAGAAATACAACATTTGAAACTCCCTGTATAGCATTTCGATTCGATTCCCGAATTGAATCGTGTGGGGTTGGGAATCTACCCGAGAGCGGATCGATTCCGAGCAGGAGGAAGGTCGCGCCGCGATGGCGGTGCTGAGTGTGTTGCGGGCCGCCCTGCGCGGCGCCTCCTCGTCTCTCTTCTCCGCCGCCACTGCCTCCTCTTCCTCCTCGTCAGCGGCCTCCGCCACCTCGCCCCTGAGGTGTCTGCTCGGCCGCGTCCCGGCTGGTGAGTCGGTGGGGGCTGGCGAGGCAGGGCCGAGAGAAGAGGCTTGCAGGTTGACCTTGTTAGGAAGGAGGTGGGGAGTCTGACGGCCTCTTGTGATCCTGCAGTCGGATGATGTCTTTGGTGGGGGGCGGTGGTTAGCGCAACGAACCCTGGCCACCCGAGTTGGATTCCCTCTCACGGTCACCCAACACCAGCGACGCTGAGCTGAACCTTTCCTGGGCCTCGTGGCATACCGTTGGGGGTCTCTCAAGAGGTGCTCGCTGGACAGCACTCGCCAGCACTCGCCCCAAGCCTGTTGACGCTGTGCTGTGGGTTTGTGAAAGATGTGTGTACGTGAGGGTTGTCGAGCTCACGACCAAGGCTCCGGTTTGACAGCAGAGGTCTCGCTCCGAATCGGTTGCGCAACGCTGTGTGGAAGCGACCTGGTCCGTCGCTCCGCACGAAGCCGCGTCGGGTCTTCTCGGCCACAGTCAATGGCCCTACCTTATCTGCGGCTTATGAAACGTGGACTTCCCCCTAATGGAACATTTGCACCGGTTAGAAACATTCAGGCTGGCATGCCCACGATCCGTCCTGGGTTTCACCAGGCTGCATTGTGTGAGGAGCTCGCAAATCCTTGAAAGATCTGGGCAAGGTCCCATCGGTGAGCTCCTCCGGCAGGCGAGGCTGCGTTGGCTGGGTCATGTAGCTTGCATGCCCCGCCACCGCATACCCCGGCCACCGCATGCCCCGGTCACCGCATGCCCAGCCACCGCATGCCCCGGTCACCGTATGCCCAGCCACCGCATGCCCAGCCACCGCATGCCCAGCCACCGCATGCCCAGCCACCGCATGCCCAGCCACCGCATGCCCAGCCACCGCATGCCCAGCCACCGCATGCCCAGCCACCGCATGCCCAGCCACCGCATGCCCAGCCACCGCATGCCCAGCCACCGCATGCCCAAGCAGCTTCTGTTTGGCCACATAGAGGGGGGGGGGCTAAATGGGCACGACACGGGCTGGAGAAGAGATGGAGTGATGTGGTACAGGAGGACGTGGAGCTGAGTGGACTTGCCGATGACTGGTACCAGCGGTGTGCCAAGATCGGCCTCTGTGGAGGAGGAGGCTCGTGAAGGACGCCGCTCCTGGGCAGTTGGAGGCAGTCGCCCTCCAGCAACGACGGAGGGCGGATGAGTGACGCTCACAACAATGAGCGGAGCGCTGGGCGGATAAAATGCAGCAAGTTGGCATAGTAGGGGGTACAGCTGGTGGTACATCTACCGGTTATCTCAGTCATCCAACCCATGGCACCTGCTGGGTCTGTCCCAAGACCCTCCCTTCAGCGAGCCTTCGACACTTCACGTGGCCTCAAAGTGCACCTGGCCTGGCACAGGCGCCGTGGTGACGTCACCGTCACTTTAGTGGCGACTGGCGGGTGTTGGTTATAGAGCTGACGGTCTGTGTTGTCCGTGTTTCAGGCCACGTGCGCTACAGCAGCGGCAGCAGCAAGCGGTTGTTCTTCATCGAGCCCACGAAATACTTCGACAACAGATTTCTAAATCTCACGGTGAGTCGCGTGTTTTCGCGTGTCTCGGAAAATTGTGGACCCTCGTAGGAACACCTTGCTTTTGGGCGGTTGGATAATCCGTTGTCCACACAACACATTCCTGCGGAGGGAGCTGGTAGGAACGTTGGGTTGCTCGGTCAATGGCCAGGGTTAACGGCGGCGTGGTGTATTCCGCACAATATGCCCGACTGTGAGGGCGGGCACGAGCCGGCGTGAGTAGGTTAAACGTTGAGTTTTATAAGGGCACCACGGGGTGACCAACCCCTCCCCACCCAGCTCCACCCCTCCCACCCAGCCCCTCCCCACCCTCCCCACCCAGCCCCTCCCCACCCTCCCCACCCAGCCCCTCCCCACCCTCCCCACCCAGCCCCTCCTCACCCTCCCCTCCCCACCCAGCCCCACCCTCCCCTCTCCACCCAGCCCCTCCCCCCCACTCAGCCCCACCCCTCCCATTTTTGGATGCACGACGGACGGCCACAATAATCCCCTGTGGGCTGGTGGTGTAACCAGGAGGTTCCTACCAGTATTATTTGGAGTTCTGGACAGAACCATCAATGTGCCTTTCAGGCAGGTTGAGAGTTTGGACGTGTAGCCAGCCCACATGCCTTGTCACGTGATGCTCATGCAGCTCCTCTGTGGTTAGAGGGCGCTAAGTTAGCACGGCTGAGGGTAGATGGGCTGATGAAGTGAGAAAAAACAGGCTGATGTGGTTGTCACAGAAGGATCGTGAATTGAGTTTACTTGCTGACAAATGGTAGATCGGCCTCTGTGGAGGCTACTCGTGATAGATGCCACTGGATAGTTGACAACAGCCACTGTTTAACAACAACGGGATGCAGAGGAACAGATCATAACACCGAGTTAAGGCATTTGGCGCCTAAAAAGCAAAGCGAGTTGCCACAGTGGGGAGCACAGATGGTCAATCTGCCAGTCGGCCAACCCATATCACCTGGGTCTGTCTCGTAATCTCCTTCCAGAGAGCCTGTATGGCCTCAAAGGGCACCTAACCCGATATGTGTTCTGACACTTAGTGATGGTGGCTGATGTTGTATGTGATCTTGGCCATTCACAATATCAGTAGCAATAGGAACCTGCCCTGGGCTTCTCCGATGTCAACTCAGCTTTAAATGAATATCCCCAGCAGTGCTTTGCATGCCATAGCATCAGCACTTTAGACAGAAAGACGGTTGAGTGTGGTGATGTCCACACCATCCCCACGTGCGCTAATCCGGCCTTAGTGGGTGATCTTTATCAGCAGGGCCTCCACTAGAGGGTGCTTGGCCTACTCTTCCATGCTGGCCAGACATCTGAGGTGGGGAGGTCGAACCGAACTGGTGACCTCTATAAGGCTTCTTAAAGGTATTGATATGTAACTTGTTATTTCATTGAAACATTTATTTGTGTTTTGTATATTTTGCTAATATATTTCTGCTGTGCAATTTCACTCATCAGATATTCTACTTAGCCCTGACTGGTGTGCCCGCTGCTATCATCATAACGTACATCAATGTGTTTGTTGGTAAGATCACACGATATCGAACGTAATAATGTTTCAAGTCAGATGTAAAACATTGGGAGATTTATTTAAGCCCTCTACACACACATACACAGCTACAGATTTAATAGAAATTGTGGTGTGATTTTTTTTCATGGAATCCAAAAGTGTGAAGAAAGTGGCTGTGTTGTGTGTTTCTCTTCTTCTTCAGGTGAGGCGAAGCTGGCCGAGATTCCAGAGGGTTACATCCCTGAAAACTACGAGTACCATAAGGTGTGTGGCTGCAAAATAAATGTGCACGACAATCAACAGCAAGTTATCCTCACCTCGCAGTGGCACAATCGCTTCAACATCTTTACGTTATCTCGGTGTGCGTGTATGGAGCGGCGGCGCAGTGGTTCGTGCATTTGCGCCACGAACCCCAGCGACCCCAAGTTCAATTCACGGTCACGGCTCACTTCAGGGGGGCGATTGTCTGAACCAGTCCTGGGCCTGCCCTCGGTCGTCGTGTGTAAGCTTGAGCACTGGGAGACAAAAGTGGTGGAGCATGGTGATATTCAGAATGAGAATCTTTGTTTAGGCTGCAGGAGGTATCCGATAAGCAGTGAAGCTCTTTTTCAGAGACGTCCACTATTGGCGGGCCAGCGAGTTACAACAACAAACGGTAAAAGCGATAGGGGTGCAAAATAGAGAAAAGGCTCAGAAAGTCACTAAATATAAATACAAAACAAATAATTAACTTAATTTATTATATAAGTCCCATTTATCAAACTTGGGCAAGGTAACAATAACAACAACAACAACAAAACAGTCCCAGACCATACCAAGATAACACCACACAGCAGTGGCCCCTCAATAAAATGCCACATTAACATTGAACTATCGATACTACACAGGTAAGGCTCAAAGGTACACAGCACATTTTCAAATGTGGCTGTATATCCTGCACTAACCTTCTGCATCAGGATATTTTTTTTCTGAAGTAAGGCTTGCGACGTTGAGGGAGAAAACAAGAAGTCGTGCCATATTCGCAGCACGTGCAGCGCATTGTCGCGTCCCTTCCTCGGCGCGGTAGGATTCCTGTCGGTTGACGTGTATAATTTCAATTTAAAGCTTTCGTGACTCCAAGGATTCATCTTCTTCGTGAAAGGAACAAACCTGTCGGGACGACAGAGCTACAATGTCAATGTAGCTCTGTCGTCCAATTTCAATGTAGCTCTGTCGTCCCGACAGGTTTGTTCCTTTCACCTGAAGAAGGCCACTTGTGTTGTGGCCGAAACGTCTTGAGAATTTTATTGTTTTATTTTATTCTTTTATTCTAATTCTACGTGACTTTACCGAAAGAACCAAAGAAGGCTGACGTGTCTTTAAGCATGTCTACCTCCCTTTGGGGGGGGGGGGGGGGGGGGTTCGAAAGCGTTGTGATTGTGCGATCGTTTTTTTTGTATCTATCATCTGGTAGCACCCCATCACGCGGTGGATCGTAAAGCACGTACTGGATCCCCCGGAGAAGAACTACGAGAAGGACATGCACCTCATCGCAAAGGAGATGGAGAAGTCCCACCATTAGTGAGTGCTTTGCGCCCCAAGCGACAGTGTCGAGCTTTACTCTCTCGGCTGACGCTCATTACGGTTATACCACTGTCGGGTTTGTTGATCGATGTTTCTTTTTTGGCATCCTATTTCTGCGTGCGAGTGTGGTGGCTTTTTAATGGTGCTGATCAACTACTCGTAGTTCTGCCTGAGAAATATTTAGTACGGCCGTCTATCCGGGCAAAAGCTTAAAAGCCCTTGAACCGATTTTTATTAAACTTACCACACAACTCGCCAATACTTATGCCTAGGTCTGTATAGTTTTTGCTCAAGATTGGTCATGAAATAGTAAAAAAAAAAATGTAGATCTTATACATGCAACAATGCATTGATACATCTATTTAATTGGTTCTCATGATAAAAACCTATTTATCAAACTGTGTGTGTGTGTGAGAATTGATTGTGATTTCTGTATTCAGTGACATTGAAGAGTTATATATTGGATCGTACAAAAGGGAATGCCGAATACAGTCGCCGTCAAGGGGGTCGCCAAGAGATTAAGAAGATGCAGTGGTCCAACGTCAGGTTCACTTCACGATGGTTAAGCTGAAAATGTGGAAGTGCATTATATGCGTGCAATGCATTCCCCTGGCGCCGACTTGCTAGAGTGACGACAAGCCAGCTGTGTTGAGCCTAAAAGAAGATCGCATGCAAATGAAGCGTGGCACAGGCTGACAAAATTAGATCAAATAAAAGTTACAAGAATAAACGGATGAGGGGTTTAGTGAAGATTATTAAGCAAAGTGTTTTTGAAGACGGCAGGTCCAAAATTAAAAGGGTCAGTTGGTGGGACAATCTAAATCGTTGCACCGCATTCCCAGCGATATTCGTGCACGTGCGTCAGAACGCAAGTTCGACGGCGTTCGCTCGCACGCTGCTCGTATGAATTTGTATTTTCCCGCACCTCCGATTAGCACGGTTGGCTGCATACGAATGCGAAAGAAGTTCAGCGTGCATGCATAGTATTACGCGCATCCACGCGCGTTTCAAATCGTTTGCGCGTCTCGAAGCTCCGCAAATTTCCATGCACTTGTCGCATCCCCTAGCAAGATAGGGGGTGTGGGCTTAACGTCTTCAAGCACCGTCTTGACAGCTTCGTTTTGTAAAAATTCTCAATGTGTCTGTCGCAGTGCCATCGAAGCCAAAGCTCGTCGCTTGATGCGGGACCGCGGAGACGGGCCCTGGTCCGTCATGCCGGTCCAGGACCCCGCGGTCATCATCCGTCATCACAAGGCCACCCCGGACGACTGAGCGACGTCCACCCCACACCGACCTGGCATCGTTCTCTCGCCAAATGCCGTAGCCGTGGGGCTCCCTCTTGTGCAACCCACCGGACCCCCTTGCCGTGTCAGTGAAGACTCCGCACGTGGCCGGCGCTGTTGTGGTCAAAAAGCTGCGTTTCCATTTTCACCATAGTGTGTCTGCGCGCACGTTGTGTGCTCTGAAAAAAATAAATAACACTTTTGAACCCGAAGAGAATATTACTTCCGTGTTTGGTGCTTTAATGCCGTGCCTCGTCTCGGTGGTGTTGTTTCTGTGGGAGGTTATGGGTGGGGGGTGCGGGGCACGTGCTCCCCGAATGAAAAGCAAGTCACGTTTTCAAATCGGGGGTCAAACTCGGTCCGTCGTACCTTCTGGGGTCAATAAAATGAGAATCACGTTGCCGGGATGTCGACTAACCAATCGCTAGACTGGCACCTTCCCATGGTAATGCCAAATTTCTGTCTCTGTCTCAGGGCCATCAAAGGTGATAGCTGACCTTTGTTGACATTTCAATATGAAAGTCTACTCTACGCGTTTACACTGCACCTTACCGGCTCTTCTGCGTTTCCAATAGAACTGGGTAGTTTGGGTTCATTATGCCACTATAAATCTTAACTTAAAGCTATTGTGACTGCAGGAATTCATATTCTTTGGGTATGTCGGTAAAGTCACGTAGATAGATTCAAAGAACACAAGCGTTAGTTTTTTTCCTGATGACGAACGCTTGTGTTGCGATTGAAACGTCGTTTTATTTTTCTTTGAACCTGTCTTCGTGACTTTACCGAAAGACCCAAAGAATACCATTTATAAACTAGCCTTTTGCCCGTCCAAGGACGGGGGGTGTATTGCAGTAAATCTGAAACTTGCAAGCGAAAATCAGACCGCGACGTGATATTCACTGCATTATTGCGTGTGCAGTTTGTAAGGGCGCGGTGACACAGACCTATTACATTTAAAGATTATAATCCCTCGTTCATCATGACGTCCTTTTTACTTCGATGTCTCAACAACAGCGTGACGGAGATCACGTGACGTGAGGGTTCTGCCTTTGTCGTGAGGGTTGTAAGTTGACGCCGGGGAGGGGGGAGGTGCCATATGGAGTGACGTCAGCAGCTAATTATTTCGATTTAAAGCTTTCGTGACTGCAAGGATTCATCTTCTTTGGTTCTTTCGGTAAAGTCATGTAGAATGAGAATAAAATAATAAAATGAAATAAAACAATAAAATTATCACGACGTTTCGGCCACAACACAAGCGGCCCTCTTCAGGTGAAAGGAACAAACCCGTCGGGACGACAGAGCCTCAATGAACGCTGTTAAGATTCGCGAATCCTTTCCTTTCACCCGAAGAGGGCCGCTTGTGTTGTGGCCGAAACGTCGTGAGAATTTTATTGTGTTATTTTATTATTTTATTATCATTCTACGTGACTTACCGAAAGAACCAAAGAAGAACAGCTAATTATTATTAATGGCGGGGTTACCATTTGGAGGACGTCACCTGGTCATGATTATTAATGAGGGGGGCTGTTCGATGTGGAGTGACGTCACTTGCTCATGATTATTAACGAGGGGGGGGGAGTACTGCATGTTGAGTGACATCATCCACTCAAGATTATTAATGAAGAGGGGTGGGGGTGTCCATTTGGAGGATATCACCTGCTCCTGAATATTAATGAGGGGGGGCTGGTCGAGTGGAGAGTGACGTCACGAGCGTTCAGGACAGGACATTCCTGGGTGATTATAGTGGGTATGGCAGACGCCCCCACATCCTGCTTCCCGATTGCGGGAAACCCCTTACAAGTTCCGTCCATTGTGACGTGTAATGATGATGCCTGTGACGTCATCAAACCAGCATCCGTAACCTCACGTCGAGTGACGCACGTGGTGGAGGAATGTAAGACCCTGCAAACTATTTTCGTGGTATCAGAGAAGTAATCAAATACCTGAAAAATCCGATAGTCTACGCTAAAGCTTACCATTGGTGCACCCTGCGTGTTAATGCGATAGCTTGCAATTTCTAGAACACTAAAAATAATCGTGGAGAAAAGAGATAAAATAGGAACGACATGCCTCCACATATCTATCTCCATATATAAAAAAACGTATTTCTTACACAACCCATCGGCCTTCTGAGAGTGTGTAACTCCATCACCACCACCCAGCCACAAGGAGTCTTGCTTGTGGCTGGGTGGTGGTGCTAAAGTTAGAGGCCGTCCATAAATGACGTCACGCGATTTTGACGATTTTTTACCCCCCCCCCCCTCGTCACACGGCGTCACAAAAAGTCAGACCCCCCCCCCTCAAATATGACGTCACAAAGCTCTGTCCCCCCCCCCCCCCCCTCCAAACCATATTTCCATTTTGAAAATAAAACATACTTCAATTCGCTTTAAACTATTGTAACATTGTAGTGCGTATTTAATGCGGCGCTGCACTCTGATGTTGTCGGAGTGTTGTTATAACAATTAGTGTTGTTATAACAATTCTATATGTATTTAAAGTTGCGCATTTTTACGTGACGTCACATTTCTCAACCCCCCCCCCTCGTCACACATCGTCAAAAATGTCTGACTCCCCCCCCCCCCCCTATGTGCGTGACGTCATTTATGGACGGCCCCTTATTCCTCCAGTATAAATAAACATTCTGAGTCTGAAACTCTGGACCGGCCCTCGACACAGTGCTTCATCAGGTTTTCCCGATGCGAGGTCGGTGAACTACCAAAACCTGAATTTCTCTATAATGTTTAACAATGTACTATATATACTGTTCAAGCTATAGTGTTGACGCTGTAGCGAGATGCCGTGATTACGCGCTCTAGCCGCTAATATATTCACCGTCATATATACAGCAGCTGTCAATGTTTATATTTTGTATTTATCGATACCCTTTGCCGCCACCAGAGGTCGCACCACAACTTGTATTCCGAATAAGCGGATAGGAACTTGAGTACCGGTTGTACGGATTTTTTTATTTAAAGCTTTCGTGACTGCAGGGATTCATATTCTTGGTTATTTCGGTAAAGTCACGTAGAAGGGAAACAATAAAATATATAAACAATATAATATATAAACAATATTTTTATTATTTTTTTATTTAAAGCTTTCGTGACTGCAGTAATTCATATTCTTAGTTTTTTCATCATCACCTGATGATGACCGTTTGAGTTATGGTCGAAACGTCGTGAGAATTTTTTATTGTTTTATATATATTTTGTTATTTTGTTGTTTCTCTTCAACGTGACTTTACCGAAAAAACTAAGAATATAAAAATATTTTTATTACTCTATTGTTTCACTTCTACGTGACTTTACTGAAAGAACCAAGAATATGAACCGGTTGTACGGTGTGTGTTTTCTTTTTTAAACGAGGTATATACAATCTTCATTTTCCGAATCACATTCACTCGAATAAATTTCACCTTTGAGTTGTTTATATTGTGATGTTGTTTCACTCTTCAACACACCGGTGGGCTAAAGCAGTGAACTATTTGTCTTTTGTAAACGTGACACTTTTTTACTGTTTGGCCGTGTCGGGTGGTGGAGGGTTACGACACATTTATAAATAATATTGGTCGCGAGAGCCTACGTGTTAAACTGATTGTTATTCTCCCCGAATTAAATGCCAACTGTGTTCTCACGGCATCTTGTTACAACGCACATTTCCTTTCACGGTTCTTTGCAGCCTTCAGTGTACCACCTTGTCAGACACGGCCCTTGAAGATGGCATCACGGAACGACTCCTGAAGTTTTGCTACCGTAGCACCTGATCCACACTTAAAGCGCATCTTATACACTCAATATTCATGTGAATTAAGTGAAAATCACAAATTAGACTTGACGGGTTTGCTTTATCACAACTGCGTACAGAAAATAAAACCCATAACATGAAATGTGGTTCTGCACTTAATTAGGCAACATTCCTGCTCTTAAAATGTAAAATATCGGGGTTGAGCATCACATTATCCTTCCCCCGCACGCTCAGATTGACTACGTACGGTGCGAAAGAAGTTCAACGACTCTCACATGGCAGAGCGGGGTGCCACAGTGCTGCCCCGTACCGAGCGTGAAGTGTGACCAGAGGTCCCGTCCACAAGGGCCCTCTCATCCACAGCGAGCTCGCTCCGTCACATTTTAGTTCCAGCGCGTGAACCATGACACAACGGGGCACGTTCAGTATTCTAGAAACAGGGGTGGCTCTCCGGGGTCTACACGGCCAAGGCCCTTCCGTATATGGGGTGGGGCGGGCTGCCACCCTAACCCTTGGGTGTAGCAGCTAGAAGGTGGTTGGTCTATGGCTGCTGGATGTAAGGGAGGGAGTGAGGCTGTGTGTGAGTGAGGCTGTGCCCGTGGCTAAGGGCTCGGTTGGCAACCTCCATCCTCCCCTTACCACCCCCTCCCTCTTCTCTGTCCCACTCACTCGAGTCGCGGCTCCAGCTTTGGGTGCTCAGATCTCTCAGCTGAGACCCACCAGTTTGCATCTCAAGATCGAACTTAGAAAGCTTCGCCTGGAGTCGTTCGAACTTGTATTTCGTTGCGTTTGTTCGAGTCCGTTTAATGAGGTCGTTCCGTCGTTATCGTACGAGGTTTTTTCTTATTTATTTAAATAGCGTTGTCACACAAAAAAAAAATCGACGCCCGCCGTCGCCGTGAAGTCGGCAAGAAGTTACCGGCAACTTCCAAGGGGCATTTTGGCAGTGGTGTTCTTAGGCTCTCAGCCGTTCGTGGCGGCATCAAGATCACCCGAGGGTGATTTCTAGAAGCAAGAGAGGAGGAGGAGGAGGAAGAGGGGTTTTTTGTAAGTTGGGGAAGAAAAACGACAAAAAACCCAAAGAAGACGAAGACCAAAAAGGGCCCCCTCCCCCATCGTAAAGCGACTTCGACACCAGGCGTTCTGCACATGTAGCCATCATCGTTGTTATCACCGTTGTGGAAGGTCCTGTTAGCTTACGTGGCAGCCCAGGTGTGCAGGGTTACACGTGGCAGCCAAGGTGTGTGGGAGCCAGGTGTGGAGGGTTACACGTGGCAGCCAAGGTGTGTGGGAGCCAGGTGTGGAGGGTTACACGTGGCAGCCAAGGTGTGTAAAGGGGTGTTGTAGGAGGAACCTCAGCGCGTTAAGGGTGGCACTGGGCACCCTGATCCAGGGGTGGAGGTTCCGGGATCCAGGTGAGGGGCAGCGATGACGGACGTGTGGGAGTTGCTGCTGCCCTATCTGCCCACCGTGCGCATCCCCACATCGGGGACTCGAATCTACAAGGATGAATGCGCCTTCTCTTTCGACAGCCCGGTGAGCACGCACTGTGTGTGTGTTAGTGAGAGATACTCTCTCACAGACACACACACGCACTGTGTGTGTGTGTCTGTTAGAGAGCGTCTCTACTCTTACAGACGCACACACACACCTACCGTGAGAGCTACTCTCTCACAGACACACACGCGTACTGTGTGTCTGTGTATCTTTCCCGCGTGTGGGGAGCGGTAGCGTAAGTGTCCAGCGCACCTCGCTACGAACCAGGCGACCGGAGCTCTATGAATAGATCCGAACCGGTTCCGGGCCTTCACCCTAGATCGACTCGGCCTTAAACGAATACACCTGGTCGGGCGTGGTGCTTGTTGGTTTGAATGGGTGCTCGCTAAACGCACTTATTGCAACAGTGAATGGGTGATCTTCTTGGTTCTTTTATTATTTTATTATGTTTTATTTTTATTATTTTATTTCCATTCTACGTGACTTTACCGAAAGAACCAAGAAGATGAATCCCTCCAGTCACGAAAGCTTTAAATCGAAAAATAAAAGTGAATGGGTGAGTGAGTGTGTATATAATTAAAGGGAATGGCCCTTTCCTCTAAGCGCGTGCATCGTGTCTATGCCATGAAGAAGGGGGTCATTGCTTAAAATGTAACCTAATTGCATATTTGGACGTTTACGGCCACCAGTGTGCGCGTCCAAGTGAACGATTGTGCAAGTGAACGATCGTCAGTGAACGAGTGAAGGGTATACGTGAATTAAATATACCTAAGTGAGAGAGTCGGTGAGTAAGTGAACGCGTTACAAGCGTCTGCGCCTTGAAGTGCACGCAATATCTCTAGTAAATGTGCGCTCATGAGTTGGCGTGCGTGAAAGTGAACGCGTCCGTGGCTATGTTAATTCAAGCGGAGACTGGCTGTGTTGTCGGTGATTGTGTCGTAAGCAACGGTGAGTTTCGGCAAACCCGTACACAGATGAACGAGCGTGAGTGAATGAATGTTTAAGTGAATGTGGGTCGGTGTAAATAATTTCAAGCGTGTACAATTGAGTGAATAAGTGTTTGTGTGTGAATAAGTAGATCACGTTGTATTAAGTGAATGGTATGTATGAAGTGCAACGTGTTTAAGTGAATGCGTACAAGTGAATGCGTTAACGTGAGCATACATTAGCTTGTGCGGCGTGTAAGTGAATGAGCGTGTGTGGATGTAAGCACATGTGCCGAGAGTGAATGTATGTTTAATTGGTGTATTGTGTTTGGAGCATTAGTATTGTGTGTTGAATGATTGGGTGGGCGTGTGAATGTAAGCAAATGGATATCTGTTTAAGTAAATGTGTAATATTTGAATGAGTGTGTAAGTGAATGCATGTGCATGCATATTCTGTACAGCGTGACACGTACACTTGCGTGTTTCCATGATACGAGACTAGGCTGACGATTGGTAGACGAGACTTAAAGTGTCCGTACGTTATAAGTTGCAGCAGATGACCTCTCCGTTTATATAATTGTGGGAAATAATCATTTGTGTTTATGGTTAGACACGACGTTTGCTTCGTGTGTGTGCCATTCAAAAGTAGACTCGGGGAAATGCAGGGGAACACACAGGGTGAAACAGTTACATTATAAACTCAATGAACACAATTCTCAACGTAACAAGTTTTTGATGCTACTACATTGTGCCACTTTCTTGTTCCAAGTGTCACGAGAAACCCCCACCCCCTCCCCCCAAAATTGACTTTGTAATGTTCTCAGCGTAGTCGGCAAATGTGGGTTAGAGCAAAGCAAGGCCTAAGTTGAGACTGAAAATCACAAGGCCTGGCCATGCCACTGGTATGAAGGCACACGTGGCGTGTGGCTATTTTGGTATTGAGAGGGCCCAACTTAAATTTAGCCCCTGCTGATGTGAGTTGCCTGTGAGTGCCGGGTGAGATAGAAAGCTAAGAAGAGGGAGGGAGGAAATTTAGGTCTCTGGTGTACGAAGGGGATGTAATGGGGAGGGGGGCGATGAGGATGGATTCGGTTGGAATGTCAAATATTTTCGATATCTCACTCGACGTCCCATCATTTTTTTTACAAAGATGTCCCCTCAAACTCTGGAGTCTGTGGCCTGGTCACGGAGCTTTGTGTGGACCCACGGACAGGCGCTATGGTGCCAAGAATGCCACACGCACTCAAATGTGGTTACACTTGGAATGCGGGCAAACTTCCATCTGTTCACAAATCAATGACTGGCAAATGCAGCCACAGCACAACGTCGCTTATCCGACAGCCACACAATCCGCCCAGGCCAATTAACAGCTTTGGCCAGGAGTCAAACTCAGGTAGAGGAGTTCAGAAGTTTTTTTTCGCGAGTAAAGCCCATGGAGCTTAGAAGCTCTTATTCAAATTGCGACTCAGCCGGCAGACAACACCAAAGCATTCCACAATTACAGTAGTAAAACTAACTAACTAACTGAATAATACCAATTGTGTCGTAAAGTTACATTCACGCTTAAACTTAAGTGATTTTAATAATCAATTTAAATGAGGTGGCAGAATGGAGATGCCAAGAGACGGAACGAGGTGGTTACAAAACTTTGGCTACGTACGCAACGAAAGAAGTTCAACATACATTGGTCCCTTCCGGCACGTGTTTTTCTCTCTATAGGAACCAACATTTGGGATTAACCCTACAGCCATAATCGAAACAAATCTTACCCGGTGGAAAACACACATTTGTTGCGCGAGGGGGTACAAATATTCGGGGAAAACCGATGTTCGTTTCCACAAGGTTCCTCGCAAAGCACCGCACTTGCCATCTACGGGGTCAAGTACGTAGATGTTAAAATTCGCAGGGCCAAGGATTGAACGTCGATGGATAATTCAACGCACGAACATGGTTTGTTTGCCGTGCTCAAACAAAAATTGTCACCCACATGAGGTGTTGGCTCTCAAGTGCAGCTTGCAAAAATACTTGCACTTTTGATGACTGTATAATACTGTAATGTGATATCGTGGAGCATGGAGCATGATCCGTTAAATCATATACACAAAAAATAACTCCGTTCTGTGTGTCCACAAATACATACCACATTGTTTTTTTATTCTATCAATCTGTTTATTGCCTTTCTAGGCCAATGTTAACCAGCAGCTTTTTGAGCAATGGCTCTTCTTTGTAGTACACCACTCTGGCCTCCCTCTTTACCTGCATCTAAGAAGGGCGATTGCCCAAAACGTTACCTATATACAGTATATAATTTTCCTTTTAGTGTTATTATTGATGTTGAGTTTGTTATTTGTGCTCCACTGGAAATGCAGTAAACAGCATCACCAAATACTTTGTTTAACCGGCAGCGTTTGTATAGCAAAGTCAAAATAAAGGAAACTCAAAAACAGGCCCAAGTCGTTGCAGAGCTTGGTTGTTTAAACTAATGCCGCTGAATAATATCGGTCTATAAAATCAGGCAGTCGTTAGACTACATCGTATGTTTTTATTTATACGGAGTCGCATAACGGAGCTTACTTATATTTGGTGTTTGTGGTATTTAATGCCCAGCAGGTTAACGGTGGCTGGAAGTGGCATCGTTGAGGAGGGAGTTCAATTCAAACACTTGAATGCTGAATTGGTTGGGTAGGTCAGAGGTCAGTGAGTTGATCTTGCACTGCTAAGTTTCTGGGTTCAAATCCAAGTGTCTGCTGCCTGTGATTAAACCAAGTTGTCAAGTGTAGTGAGTTTTATGGTCTCTGCGCAGTCACCACTGACTGCTAAAAAAACCCACCGCATTAAATTTAGTTTGGAACTAAGTTTAGCTACATTCCAGTTCGAATAAAAAGAAAATAGTTGTTTTCTTCCATGCCACTGACATTTATCTTGGAAGCAGTGTGGACGGGAAATTGCTGCCATCCCCTCCTTTGTGGACCAGGTATCACCTTAAAATATCTTGGAGATAGCTCTGTGGTGTCCACTTCCTTGAGCCCTTTATGAATGCGAAGACTTCCACTACACTACGAGAGATCCAAACGGGGCATCATTGTCTTATGACATCGCACACCGATGGCAGTTCCAACACTTAGGGGGCTTTCACGACCAATATCCATAATAGAGATTTATTTTTGGTTAGATCGCGTAAATATAAATGTGTCGTAAAACCCGTCACCACGCAACATCCAATTAGTAAGGTTTGCCACGTAAACTAAACGTGCCAATTCGTTACTAGTACAGCATACCGGTGGGTTGGAGAGTAAACCCACAACAATTACCATTCAGGCGACAGCCAGAGTTCTGGAGAAATCCTCCTGTTGTGGTCCTTAAGTAAACGGATGCATGCGATGTCGTCACTTGTGATCCAATCAAGTGCGACGAGAAGAGGGGGGTGGGTTAATGTTGATTCCGATTATACCAATGGCATAATCGGAATAAAAATTTGCGGACAAAAGATTTAGTAATTAAAAAAAAACTTGATTTCCACTCGCTCCCCACATTCCTAACGTCGCATCGTTGCCTGCAACGGCTAAAATCCGGCGAGCTGTCGGTCTAAATCATTAATAATTTTCTCACTTTTCCACAGTGCACGGCATGAAGACAGCTTGGCAGGACCCATTGGTAGTTTTTATAGAGATAATTCAAGGTCAAGAGATCATCAAGGCCAAAGCCAACGGTGCCACCACAACCAGCCATCGCGTCCTTCTGCTAAAGCCCGTAATTGTTGTGCGAGGCCCATACCCGGGCCTTCAAGCTTTGCTCTAAGAGTCTCTAATAATCTGAATCTAGCCCCCCCCCCCCCACCGTTGCCACTGCAATGCCCCTCTCAGTCACCTTCCCTCTTCCATCCTGCACGTGTGTCCCACCCGTCACAACCTCCTCCTGCTCCTCCTCTTCCTGATTACATCCCACAACACGTGCTCGCCGTTCAGCTAACACACATACGTAGTCGAATTACGAACGTCCAATTCGATAACCCTTATGGAAATAATTTATTGCGACTAAAATAGCTCCGCTCTGACTTTCGCATGCATGCGGGTTCCCTTCAAATCAGTCAATAACATCTGTGCCAGCGACAGCGAGGATTCTGGAAACAAGCGTGGAAGTCTTCGGCTGGAATATCTCTCAGTGGGCGAATAACAGTCACTGCTATATTCGCAGTGGCATCGAAAGGGAGTCCTTCCCAACGCGAGTTTTACTCATCGTTGTTTTTTTTTGTGCGGACTGTTATGAACGAGCGCTTGATTGCGATCGGAACAGCCCGGAATGCTTTTCCGTGAAAATGATACATGAGCAACACCTAGCCACATCAAGGATCTCGCAAAGTGCGTTTGATTGTGCGTGGTTGTGAATGGCGCACAAGGTTCCTAATAGTCCGTTCATAGGAGTATTAGGAGCAAAGGGTACAAGAATAGAGTGGCACAGCTTTTGTAACTGTAGTGGTAAGTGCCTTGTGCCCGATAATCTATAAGCCAGCACTAGGCAGCATTTCCTGAATATATCGAGTGAGAAATGAAGCTCCCGTTTTATTTCAGAACAAGGGCGACTTTGCCCAATTCCAAAACAATAATGAATTCGCTCGGTGCCAGACTCGCACTTCGTGTGTACGCGGCGTAGGGGAGGGGGTATAAGAATGGTCTAAGATGGATTGTAACGCTAATTGCACGACTTACGTAGCTTGTCGTAAAGCGTTTTGATTTTTAAAAAACAAATCCAAGTATAAAAATGAGCTGGGTTTATTTTTATACTTTTGTTTTTTCCTAAACTAAATTTCTCAAAGTATATTCTCGTGTCGCTGCAAAATATCAGCCACCGTGGAGGAGGTGGGGGGTGACAACATTAAATCGTGTGCGGGATTATTGTTACATCGCAGGGACCCGTGAGAGATGGCGACAGCATTGGGGAGGCCTTCATCCAGCAGCGGATAGACCATGGTCGATGACAGCACTGCCGATTCTTGATTATTTGGAAGCCACTGCACCTTTTAAATCTAGATTGACAACTCCTTTCTGTAGAACTGCTCTTTGTGTTTAGTTTATTTTCCCATACTCCCCCGCACCTCCAATTAGTGCAGTTGGCTTCGTACGGCGCGAAAGAAGTTCAACATAGATATACACGGTCCACGTTTTCTGCCAATCGTACTAATGCGCAAGCTCAAGTTTCAATTATTAAGTATAGCCCTGTGAGCCATGCGGCTCTTGAGTCGGGTGCAACCGCAACAAACAAAAATATGAACACAGAACATCCCAAAGCGACGACGCGCAACAGAAACATCTTGGAATTCAACCAGCAAATATTCCACGCAAAAAAAAACTTATTAAGCTGCCGAGGGGTATACGAGTCAATGCAAATTTTGCAAGTGAAGTTATCGTGAAGTACCGACAGCTCGGCCATCAGATTGTGATTGAGACCGGACGAGTAACCAGGGACCTTTCGTGTGAATCGATCGAATTTCAGGTGCTCGGGGCACTAACAGCGAATACCAATTGGAGTGAGGTTTTAAAACATTGCTTCTCACTTGCACGTACCTGGTCGTGTTGGTTTTGTCCATTTCATAATAAGTTTTTTGTTTGTTACATATTTAAATCTTATTCGGGTTTTAGTTGTTAAGAGTTTTATTCAGTTTCATTTTAGGCCTTGTTAAGGCTTGGGATATTTGTTCGTGAGGTGCTGTGAGGCCTCGTGTGAATGGCGCTGCTTAAATTCAAGTTCTCGCTCGGGTTTATTTTGTCTTTGGTACGATGCACTTTGTTTGCACCGTATGTATATTGAACCTCTTTCGCACCATACGTAGCCAACCGTTAGCATTGTGGTCCACGTAAGATTCCGCCGGTATCAGCCCTGAATAAGCACCTTGGGATGTATATGTTGAACTTCTTTCGTACCGTACGTAGCCAAACGTGCTTATCGGAGGTGTGGGAGAAGGACAACAAACTAAGCACAAAAATAAGTTCTAGAGAAATGAGTTTTCAATCTAGATGATTTAAAAGTGCGTAGCTCCAGTGGCATCCCTCATATCGGAAGGCAGAGCGTTCCAGACAGCCGCAGAAGCGCATCCGAAAGCGCGCGATGCGGTGACCGCCGCCTCTGTTCGACGGCCAGCAGCCAAAAGCTGCTGCTGCTGCGAGGATGACCGGAGTCCGGCGACGTCTTATGCTCCTTGACGAGCTCGGCGAGGTATCTGTGGCAAGCACTTTGCGCGTGTAATGAGCGCGACCCTACAACGAGTTCGTTTGGCAACCGAAAGCCAACGCAGCTCGGCGAGCATCAGGACGCACACGGTCGGACCTTGACAGTGTCCGTCCAGTGGATAGGCAAGGGCACCCAGGCTGCGCGCGTCTGCGGCCTGACCCCGTGAAGGGGGAGAGGTCGCCGTCTTCGACGCGGTTCGCTGACGTCGGCCCGTGCCCCCCCCACCCGCGCAGGAGTCGGAGGGCGGCCTGTACGTGTGCATGAACACCTTCCTGGGCTTTGGGCGAGAGCACGTGGAAAAGCACTACCAGAAGACGGGCCAGTGCGTCTACATGCACCTCAAGCGCACACGGCGTGAGGTGAGCCGGGGCCACGCGCGTTCCGTTCGTCAGGTCCGATGTCGGTGCGTCCGTCCGCGGTCTTCTCGTGTTCTCGTTTTTGTGTCGCCTTTTCTCCCTCATTTGATCACTGTATGTTTGTATGTGTGTTGAACTTCATCTTACCAGGTAAGGCCCACTGGGGCTATGTAGCTCTTTTTCAGAAGTGACCTGGTCACAAATTATAGCTCAACGAAGTGGCTTATCACACGGACATTTATATAGCGGCCAAAAACTCTTAAACGCGTGATGTTGATCCTAAATGTGGAGGGAAACGCCGGAGGACCTGGAGAAAAATTCATGTGACTATGGGGGAGAACATGCAAACTCCAAATATCCAGGCGTCAGGTTCGGGGTGGAACCTACGACGTTCTGTATACCAGGCAAGGTAGTTAACATCTCGCCACCGTGACGCCCCTATTTTGTGCTGTCGGCACGCCGTGCCCTGAGAATACGTTCAGAACTCTCGCCAAGCGGCGCTCTCTCTCTCATCGTGATGTGTGTCGAGTGTCACCTTGGTCACTCCTGCAAATTAAGCGAAGCGCTCTTATGTATTTTGGAATTTGGTGATGCTGCTGCTGCATTGGCAGTGGTACACAGACAACAGAACAAACAATCCATTACATTCGTCAATAACACCGTGGCCTTCAAAGGAAAACTATATATTAGGTTCCATGACGAAGGGCCATTGCCTCCAATGTCATCTGTCATATATATATATTTCCTTTTAAGGCTGCAGTGTTATTGACGAATGTGAGTTTTCTTTATCACAGAATGGAAGGTAAGGTCACGGCACCACTTCTTGAGAAACCTTCAAGTGACCTCTTTATAAATAATAATTGAAAGTCTCTCTACTAATTAAAACCTCTTGTTCCGCCAGTGGTAGAGCATTGTTGGCATGGGCCTCGGTGCAGGGAATGAAATGGGGCACTCTATCCAATGTCTCCCTCGCTTCGATCGGTGCCTTGCCACCCTGGCTCATGCACCCTGGTGCAGTCATGCCGCCTGCACACACTGGCCAGGGTGGCAAGATGTTACCTCCGTTGCCTGGTATGCAGGACGTCTTGGGTTCGATCCCGACCCTGGCGCCTGCTGTATATTTGGAGTTTGCGTGTCTCTCTCCCCGTGGTCGTGTGGATTTTTCTCCCAGACCCTCCGGTTTTTATCCTCCACATTTAGAAACGTGCGTTTAGAGTATTTGGCTGCTATAAATTTTCACGTGATAAGCCACTTCGTTGAGCTATCATGTATCTCTAGGTCGGTTCTGAAAAAGAGCTACATAGCTAAATAGGCCTTACTCAGTAAAATAAATTAAAACGTTTTTAGTTTTAACTAAGCCACTGCTCGTTTCTCTGTCTCTGCGTTGGCTTAAATTTCTCAGAAGCCCCAGGGAGCGTGTGGTGGAGGAGGGGCAAGCGATGGAGAAGACACCACCCTCCGCCTTCTCTCTGTGACAGGTCAGACCCCTGATAATAATAATTATTATTCGTATTCCAGTGCTGCTCTATTTAATGACAATTGTTCAGGAAGGCCTCATCGAGTCTCAAATGTCTCTTCAGCAGGGGGCCTGCAGTGGGATGCTTGGCCATTTATCGTCTTTTTGGAAAGTTGGCCCCTTCACCAAATCATACTGACCAGCGTGGCATAGGGAGGCCTTCATCCAGCAGTGGATTGTTTCTGGGGTTTTTTTTACCAATCGAACTCCAGCTGATATATGACGCAACCTGATGTTTTCCCTTCATCTACATGCCCCCTTGAGCCCTTTGGGGCCCCAAGCTTTGCGCTTTGTTTGCGAATGTCCAGCATCACCACCGGGGGGGTCGTGGCTGACACCGTGTCAGAGCGACGAGCCCGGACGCATTTAGATTCCTGGTTTGAATCCGGGTTTCGGCCACCCGTGGTTCGGCTGGGTCCCCGAGTGTTGGCAGTCGGTGGCCCTAAGCCGGGAATCTCCATGATCCTCGGACGGAGGTTTGGGGTTAGGGGGGGGGGGGCGAGATGGAGGGCGGCAGCTGTGTCGAGGGTTGGTCGTCGTCGTGACGCCACGCGCTCACCCTGGGCCTCACACCTGTCTCTGTCAGGGCAAGGGGGGGGGGGGGGGGGGGGCGGGCGGCCGTCGAAGTTGTGCCGTCAAAAATATCTCGTGACTTGGGCCGAATGAGAGGAGCCGCCGGCCTGAGCGAAGCGAGCAGGAGTGGGGGGGGGGGGGTGTTGACGGGGGGGGGGGGGGGAGGTCGGAGCGATCTGATGGCTCCAGAGAGGCTGCCGGTTATTTTCAGGCACGCGCAGATGATGGAGAATGATTTTGGGAAATAGGAATCATTCCCTGAGCACCACCCTCCCCGCCACCCCCCTCCCCCCCCCCCAGAAAGGAACTGCGCGAGGGTGGGGGGGGGGTAGGGGGGAATTGAGACTCAAAATTGCTGCCCGACGGAGAGGTGTGACGCAAAAAGGGGGGCCAACCCGGGAAGTAACGTAAGAAGAATTGTTAAGGCGCAGCACTGAAATTGCCGTGCTCACGGAGGTCGTGCGCCCGCAACCCCGCGACAGCTCTCACGCGGGGAAGCGCTCCCCGGGGGGAGCTGTGGGGGTGGCGCTGGGGGGGAGGATGACCCCCAGGCAGAGTCCGTTGACTGCAAGTGGTGGGCTACGGGGTGGGCAGGGTGAGAGGGGAAGGGGGGTGATGGGGAGGCGCACAATCGTTGCCCCCCCCCCACGTCCCATTCGTGAGACGCCTGAAGATCGGCATCTTATTGATGTTTCTCGACGTAGAGCCCGATTTTAAACGGCTTGAACTGTCGGGACTCCTCCTCGCCCCTGGGACGGTTCCAGTGCCGGATTATCTTAGTAGCAAAAGTAGCTACTACTCGTGTAGTAGCCACTACACGTGTAGTAGCCACTACACGTGTAGTAGCTACTACACGTGTAGTAGCTACGGGCCCCGCGCTAAATGCTTTCAAGCTATCATTTCTGGTTCATGGATGCTGCACTTGCTCTATTACTATAGTACTATACTGCCTTCAACTTGTATGAACGACTGGGTGTTTAAGGTTAGCGATTTCTCGTATTATCCGTCTGTATAGCAAATGAAAAAATACAATTACTTTACTACGCAAGTCACAAATTTGTGTTTTAATATTTGTGTCTTTTTTTTTATTTAGGGCCCCTTTATAACATCATGCTACAGGGCCCGCACTAGGTTAGTCCGGCACTGGATGGTTCTAGATTCGCCTCTGGTTGATGGGGTTCCACCAGCATTCATGCTCAGCGTGTACTGCTTTTTGTGTTCATAGTTGGCCTTCCCCCGCACCTCCGATTAGCACGATTGGCTACGTACGGTGCGAAAGAAGTTCAACATATACATCCCAAGGTGCTTATTCAGGGCTGATACCGGCGGAATCTTACGTGGACCACAATGCTAATGGTTGGCTACGTATGGTGCGAAAGAGGTTCAATATACATACGGTGCAAACAAAGTGCATCGTTCCAAGGACAAAATAAACCCGAGCGAGAACTTGAATTTACGCAGCGCCATTCACACGAGGCCTCACAGCACCTCACGAACAAATATCCCAAGCCTTAACAAGGCCTTAAATTCAACTGAATAAAACTCATATTCTTAGCTCTTTCGGTAAAGTCACGTTGAAGGGAAACAATAAAATAATAAAATATATATAAAACAATAAAAATTCTCACGACGTTTCGACCATAACACAAACGGTCATCATCAGGTGTGAGAATTTTTTATTGTTTTATATATATTTTATTATTTTATTGTTTCCCTTCAACGTAACTTTATCGAAAGAGCTAAGAATATGAATTACTGCAGTCACGAAAGCTTTAAATTGAATAAAACTCTTTAACAGATAACAACCTTAACACCTAAAAACCCGTGCATTCGTCATCCTGTAAATCCACTGCCTCCCCACGCCATACGGGTCATGGACGTTGCATGGCCATACTTCACCAGACTGGTCAGTGAGGGCTGGTGAAGGACAACGCCAACCACAGCAATAGCAGTTCACAGCCAGGTGTGCACGTGTGAAAAGTCCATCGGCATTTCCCGAAGGAGTGCATTGTGGTCCCCTTTGTGAATGAGGGCCTCCCCATGCCATTGGTGGCGGGTGATATCCGACATGGTTTTGAGCTTCCCTTAGGTCGACTCAGCCTTAAATAAGTACTGTACCGAGACTAGTACCTGGCCCGGGGAGACAAATGCGGCTTTAACAGGTGCTCCGCTAACAGAACTTGTCCCAACAGTCTGTAATGCCTTAATGGGGGATCTTTGTCTTTGTATAGGGGAGCTGAGGTGTAGCGATTCCCACTCTGTGATACACTGTACAAATGTGTTAAGCTTCCAGTAGGTTGATTCGGCCTTAAATACCTGGTGAGGTGTGCGAGCATCATCACTGGGCAGGCACGGCCACACCCCTCCGTGCTGTGTTCTATGCCGACGTTAATGGGTGCTCACTAACAAACAGCAGTGGGCCACGCATTCCAGAGGAGTGCTAAATGGGGATCTTGAGTTGGGGGTGGTTGGATGGCTGTAGTTAACACATCTGTCTGCGTTATTAATAAGAGACGGGATAGCTCATGTCTCCGTTGAATGCCTCCCACACCCCCCCCCCCCCCTCTCCGTTAAGTCAGAATGTGCGAAACGGAGAGGGGGAATGTGAGATGTTAACTACCGCGCCTGGTATACAGGAGGTCGTGGGTTCGATCCCGACCCTGACACCTGCTGTATATTTGGAGTCTGCGTGTTCTCGCCATGACCACGTGGATTTTCCTAACAAGTCCTCCAGTTTTTTCCCTCCACGTTCAGAATCAACATCACGCATTTAGAGTATTTGGCTGCTATAAACTTCCACGTGGTAAGCCACTTCGTTGACCTATCATTTGTGGCCAGGTCGCTTCTGAATAAGAGCTATTTCGCTCAGAGGGGGCTTACCTGGTAAAATAAAATTGTTTAGCAAACACAGTGGTACCTCGGTACACGTCGTTAATTCGTTCCAGAAGGTAGGAGGACTTATACCGAACATGACGAATACCAAACGAACTTTTCCCATTAAAAATATAGGGAAAGGAAATAATCCATTCCAGAGTATAAGACATGATATTTTATATGGCATATTATACATTAATGGGGTTGTATACGATAATGTGGACACTACTTATTACTAAAATGCATACAAGCATTAAAATAAATAAATAAATTTATTAAAATAAAAACACCTGAAAATTCACAGAGAGTTCTAGCAAGGTTTGTGCACTGAACGAGATCTACTCTACAGGCAGACTGAGGAGCGGCGCTTTGTTTCAGTCGTGAACGGGGTCTACGTGGGTACGCGGTGACTCATCCCGACCCATACAAGTTCTAGCAAGCGTGTCGTATCCCAAGCAAGACGTCGTATTTAAATTTCGATTTAAAGCTTTCGTGACTGCAAGGATTAATCTTCTTTGGTTCTTTCGGTAAAGTCACGTAGAATGAGAAGGCCACTTGTGTTGTGGCCGAAACGTCGTGAGAATTTTATTGTTATTTTATTTTATTAATTTATTATTTTATTCTCATTCTACGTGACATTACCGAAAGAACCAAAGAAGAAGACGTCGTTTCCCAAGCAAGACTTCGTAAACACGACGTATGCCAAATTCGACATATTCCAAAGCGGTCGTATGCCGAGGTAATGACTGTCCTTTAATTAACTTTTCTCCAGTCAACCCTTATTATTAATCATAATAACATCTGATTGCTATAGCGCCTTTTACCCGAAGGTGCCAATTGTCTCACGGTGCTTGCCTAGCATCAGCGCGTTCTGCCCCTTGTTCCGGAGGTTCACGGTTCGGCTCCAACGGCCGCCCTGATTAATACTGCGGGTGTATTAACCGTTAAACGTATTCATATTTAATTTGCCAGAGTAGGCCACTGCGTGCTAGCGTCATGGTCCAAATTTGAAAAATGTTGCACCGCAACTAATTACTCATTTGGGATTATGCATGGCAAACATCGGCTCCTTGCTACTAAAATTTGGCAGGACCCTCCTGAAAAAAAGAGTCGTGACACTCAGTGAGGCTTTGCTGGGTAAACAAGTTAAATAATAATGATAACAATTAAATAACAATATTTCAAATCTGGTATTCTACGCTCATTCACACTTTCTATGCACCCCCAGGTTAAATTATTGAGCTGCTCCCCAGATCATAAATCTGTAGGAGGGGTTGGTGGTCCAGTGGTTCGCACGCTACACTGTTAGTTGGGCGACCTGAGTTTCATTTGATTCCTGGCCCCCGTTAACATTCGGAAGCTACTGAAGCTTTGCCTTTTAAAATCTAGATTGAAAACTCATTTCTTTAGGGCCGCTTTTCGTGTTTAGTTTATTGTCCTTCCCCAGCACCTCCGATTAGCACGGTTGGCTACGCACGGCACGAAAGATGTTCAATATACAAAGACAAAGTTACA